TGATGTTTTTTTCTAAACTTAATTTATTAATCTTATGGATAAATTCTATATCGTTTAATCAATATTCGTTTTTGTTAATTTTCTGATTTAGTTTTTAATATATATTTTCCATTGTTATGTTCTTTCCAAATAATCGTTAGGTCTACATATACGTATCGCGCGTTTATACCTCATTGGATTGTTTAGCCGAGTAATCTTTTGATATGGGTTCTACAATGATACCTTTTACCTCTGATTCATGTGATGGTGGTTATTTTCATATTGCGTCTCTTAACCCTAACATGGGTGAGTGGTCTGTTTTGGTGAAGATTTGAATTGTTGGTCTGTTTCGCGTGGCTCGGGTAGAGAGCTCAATATGATTTTGGGTGACGAGCATGTTAGTATTTTAATAACTTACCTTCTATACATGTTTTCGATATTAAATTGAATTGTTTTTTTCTTTAACATTTCATTTGCAGTTCACCCAAATTTAAGCCGTTGTTCGTGATGAATTAATTGATAATTATTTTTCAAGATTGATAATCGATGAGTGGGTGAGCATTAAATTTTTTGATGTATCCCGGGTTAACAGCATCTTGAGACCAGTACCGCATAGATTCAAGATTGTGTTTCGTTCGGACACTTTAGTGCAAAGTATTAATATGTGCTCCAGTAGAACCTATTTCAATCTAACTGAGTTTGTGAGTATATTGAGTGGTATTGTTAACCCGAATATTTGCGTTGGTAAGCCTAATTTATGAATTTATTTGTGCTTTTGGAGTTTATTTGCGATTCATGTTCTGACTGTATTATTCATGTGTGTGTTTCATATATGTTATTGGCAAAATTCTCAACGTGAGAGAGTTGGTTTTTGTTCCTTCCATGGAACATTCTCAAGGAGGATATTTTGAGCTGTGCTTTGGTTTACGTGATACTGAGTAAGTAACTATTCTTTTAAAGATTTAAACCAGAATATAATGTCTTATGACTTCTTCAAATCTTAAAATTAAGTGTATCCATCTAGAATGTCGTTTAACATGTGACCTTGCAGTCGAGTTCTATGACTTATGGAAGCAACGTTCACGTAACACAGTGATATGTATTATCAAGTTTGTGAAATTAGAGCTATCACAGGAACATAGGTGGAGATGTACCAATGTTACCGGAAGTACGAGGATTATGTTGAATCCGGATCTCAGTATTACCGACGAGATGCTTTGTTGGTAAGTATTTTTTTTTCCGTTTACAATCAAAACTCTAAAGTTGGCGACTGGACATTCACTGTTTATGGTGTTCTTAATCGGATGTTAGGAATCCTGAAAATGACCAAGTACCGATCATAACACGGAAGGAGAATGCCATGGAGTGATGATGTTCGTTGATTTCTTATTTTGTTGGTGAATGATTTTAAAAGATGATTTATTATTATTTTTTAGCATTTATAATATTATTGAATTTTTTAAATTTCATCATTTTCCATAATTTTATCACACTAAATCCTAAACAATTTACCATATTTTTCTTACACTACCAAGTATCACCTAAACAATCCCTTATTTCACATGATTTTACCATTTATGCAGCATTCTTCCCGCGCATGCGCGCGGGCAATCACCTAGTACAAATTATGGGTCATCATTATTTCCCCTACCAATAATGATTTCATCCCATTTTTGGATAGTCTTTAAAAGTTTAAAACCCCACCGAAGAAATAATATATTTGACTTCTCTTTAACAAAACTTTAATTTTTAAATATTTGTCCCACATAAATAATCTTATTTTATCTGAAAAGTTTTGAACTAGTTTTAATCTTTAAACAAAACATACAGCTTTAAAAATCAAGAAAAAGTTGGTGCAAATTAGAAGTTCCATCGTAGAATCTAATCTTCTTCAAACTTTCTCAACTGATTATGAACAAAGTTTGATTTAGAACTAGAAACATCCCATATAAGAGTGTATCACTATAACATCATCAAGTAACAAAAGCTTATTCCCCTCAACACAAAGAGATTCAGCTACAGAGGACACAAAATAACACTACAGTATCGTGTTAAACAAAATGAATTCACCAAAACTCAAAATCAATAATTGAATTAAATCAATGGCAGAATTAAGCTACCCTCTCTGATCTTTACCCTTCCTTATGGACCCTGAAATCTCCTTCCATTCAATGCTAACCCAGCAGCAACTGCACTCCCAGATCCAGAACAAGCATAAGAAGAAGAAGAACCACACACCACAAGATTGGTCTCTGATGGATTATTAGGAAACTTTGATCTCTTATTAGACCATTGCCAAATCTTTGACACAGAAAAGCTCTCACCTTTACTTCTCATGTTAATCTTCTTCCCTTCAACATCCTTATTATTACTCTCTCCTTCTTTCACATTCTTTAATCCTTCATTATTAGGACACAAAGCCACTACCAGATCTGATTCAGCCACTATGTACTGATAAGACCCCATTGAGAAACATCTTCTGTTATCAAGACTACTACTACTCACACACCCACCACTAGTCTCTCCTCCTCCTCCTACTACTACTTCACCATTGTTGTTAATATTGCTGCTCCTAAACTTACCAAGCCTCACTGAAAACACTCTCTTCCCAATCTCATTATCAGCCGGTTTCTGCACCGGAGAAACCCTAACTCCTCCATCATCTCCGGCGAAAAACCCGAAATTGAAATCCGGGTATTCAAATTGATGACCTAAAGAGAAAAGGGTTCCTCTACAAAGTGGACAAGTCGAATTCGAGAGAAGCCAAGTATCGATACAATCTATGTGAAAAGCATGACTACAATTAGGAAGCAATCTAAGCTTATCATCTTCCGAGAATTCACAAAGACACACTGCACAATCAAAAGGCTCTTTCGTACCTTTGATCTCTTTGTAAAGAAACACAGGGAGAGCATCGATTAAAGCTTGATCTAGACCTGAATCGTGGAGATGAAAAAGCTGTTGAAGCTGTCTTTGGTAAGTATCGGATTCGGAAAATTCTGGGTTTTGATCAGATTCGTTTGGTGATGAAGAAAGACTCGATCTTTTCTTCTTTAAGTAATATCTAACCAACAAATGTAGAATGCTACAGATGAAGAAGATTACGGATAAGAGAACGATGATGAAGAGAACGATGGGGCTTATTCGATTATTACCACCGGAGGAAGAAGAAGAAGAAGAAGAATCGTTTGATTGATGATTCACGGTGATTGGAGAAGGAGAAGGCGAGATTTGTTGATTCAAATTCTCGTTTTGGAGCTGGAAATTATGAATCTTCCTCTCTGACATTTTTTAAGTTTGATGGAGAAGAACAGAGACACCATTTAACTTAACAACACTCTCAAATTTTTACTCATAAACCCTCAAAAAAAAAATCCAATCTCTGACTTAGAGTCAAAAAAATGAAGCAAGAATTTAGGAATCTGAAATGATTGCTAAACAGATTTTGGCAAAACCAGAGACTGAGAGCTTATACCGTCATTACATAAACAAAATTTTAATTAAATGATTATGGAGTTATTAAGCAGGGTTAGTCTCAAATTAGGTCACCAACATTTTTAAAAAATTGGAAAAATGATACTAATTTTTTGGTGTGGAGCCCAATGCTTAATTCAGGGATCTGGTGCCTAGCATAGCAATTTCGATTTTTTTCCGAATATGTTATATTTTTTTTAATAATCCAATAGCTAATAGCTTAATAATACAACATATAATTATCCAGTGGTAAGTATGAAGGTCGTTAAATAACAACGAAAAACGGGAACAATCCGCAATAATCGTTCATCGTTCGTTGGCATTAGTTTCTCAAGAAAATCACTCAACTAAAGTCAGAGTTAAATAGTGGAGTACTATTTTTTTTTTTCTGTGTCAGTATATTTTCAATATCTAGGGACTCTCGTATGAAAACAAACTGAAGCAACAAAAAAAAAATAGTAAAAAAATGGAGTAGTACTTTTTTTGTTTTTGAATTTGGAGGTAACCATTAATCACGTGGTAAATGTCGACTAATGGTTTTAAAAAGTTATTGGAATTTGGAATCGGTAAAATAAAGAGAAAAAGCCTGTCATCACCACTTTAAGAGAATCTATGTAAACATTTCATGGGCTATAAGGGCCCAAATACGACCATCTTTGCTAATTGAGGCCCAGCTAACAAACTTTACCACTAAATCTTTTTTTTCTTTTTTTTTTGTCACTTCTTTACCACTAAAATCATAATAAGAGAAAAACTCCATACAAAGTAAATCTTCTACGTACAGTTTGAGATGAAAAAAGATATCAATTGGTTTAGAATAACCAGAAGAAAAGAAGATTAAGAATCCAAAAAAATAATCAAACAAAACAAGAATCGATTTTAAGAGAGTGAGTACATATTGGAGAGGGCTTTGAGAAACCTAATCCTCAACTCCAAATGCATAATATAATCAGCAGTCTTTGATAGAAGAAGATCCGGTTGGTTCAATCTTCGCCCACCCGGTATCAGCACTCGGAGCTTCCTCATCTTTATCTGGATCGACCCGGATCCTGACCCACGACCCGTTTTCTTCTTCGTCTGCATCCTATTCCTCTCCTTTCTGTGGGATGATCGTGACTCTTCCATTGCCTTTTTACTTATTAAAATTGAGTTGTGATGTACTGGACGTGAGGGTGGTCCATATATTTATATAGTTCCAAGTCTTCTTGTCTATCTTTTTTTGGCTTTTATTTTTCATTTTTTGTACTTCTTTTCTATTTATTTTGAATGAAATAAAATAAGAGTTTTTTTAATATATGTTTTTGTTGTTGTCGTCGATGATCGTTTATATCCACATTCCACACGCTCGATCTCTTTGTCCATTTGCCGTGAGCAGTGATTATGAAACAAATATGAGAGTAATAGATACTGTCGCTAAATTTGATACAATGTACCGGTTATTAACTTAATTAGTTTGAAATCATATAGTACAATTTTAATTTTGATTTACTATAACTTTCTAATATTCTTTTTTTTGCTAATAACCTACATTGAATACCGTCAATTATTTCTTTTATTATCAAATGAATATATACAAGAACTATGATTTATAAACCAATAGTTTGTTTTTGATATGGAAATTAAAACACAAATTTTATATTTTTTTACGTCAACTATCACCGATTGAAATTATAAAACAACTATAAAATGTCTTAAACCACAAATATACGCTAGTGACATTATAATAGTTGATGATATATAGCAAGAGAGTGCGTTTGCGTTTGATGAGATCAACAGAGACAGAAATGTTACAGAGGGGGCAGTGACCAATAACGATCGGGTCTGTTGTGACGTGGCCTAATCCACGTGGTTTGTTTTGCTCCACGTGGTCCACATATCTAGGCTTCGTTGGGTCTACGGCCTTTTTCCGGTTTGTCCGATCATTGCCTGTACACAAAACGTTCCTTTGCATGCATGGCTCTCTCTTTTTCGTTATTAAATAAATTACTTGGTGAGCAGTGACAACTGAGAACCACATGATTTGTTCACTCCATAAAGTCATAAACCTCAAAATCTATATGATTTAAGACAATTTTTTTTGCTAAATGATCTCAAAATATTATGAGAAAAATGTAATACATGCTATTTCTCGATCCGATCTGTCGGGTTGTGTGTGAATCAAACTATTTCCTATATTGTACATGCGTTTTACCTATAAACTTCAACTTGTATTTGCGCTTACGAAATTTGCATAGATTTTCTTCCATTAACTCTCATCATCCACTTCTTTTCCCATTATTATATCAAAAACAAGCGTACGCAATGGCGGAGCCAGGATTTTTGTTTATAGGGGTCATATATATTATTATTTTTATTTAATTACATATTAATATTAAATAATATATTTATCTTGATTTATGATATTTTATAGAAATATATGTGAAAACAATTTTGAGAAAAAGGACAAAAAAAAAACAAGATATCCAATGATACGTACAAAGAAAAAGAATCAGTATGTATAAAAAATATTAGAGAATTGTAATCATTTTTTAGGAAAAAACAAAACAAACATAGAAAGAAAATTAATGTTGAATGAAAAATTAAATATGAATGGGGTCAAAGACATAAAATAATGGCATGACATAGGGGTCAACTAGGAAATTTTGTACCAAAAATCTAAAATCATTAGATAATTTACCTTATAATTTCAAAACTTTAAAATGTTATGGGGGTCAAACGACCCCCCTCCCTCTTAATTGCTCCGCCCCTGAGCGTACGTGCAACTATATTTTAACGATTAAAAAAAAAAAAAACAGTGCAAGTATAAACGTATATTATACAGTATACACTTGAACCTAAAACAATTTATATTTACAAGTGGAATAATATGTATGTTCTTTTTGTTGTAATTTCTTCACAACCACCACGGCCCTCTTTTTTCTGTCTTATCTGGAATTATATTAGAATAAAAGATGGAAAGATACAAAAAAAATTAAAAAATAATAATGTATATTTACAAGTGGAATAATATGTACTGTTCTTTTTGTTGTTAAAACAGTAAATGGATTAAGAAACAGTATATATAATATATGAATTTATTTCATAGTACATCAGTCATGGATTTGTTGCTAACAGTTGTTTATTTGTTTAGTCAAATCATCCAAAATTAATTGAGAAAACGCAAGCAAAGTGCAACCCATAACTTGCATGGGTTTTGCCAACTCATCCACAGTGGCGCTTCAGTATCCAAAGAGACATGGGCGTTGGTATATTGTTATCGACTTTTGTCTTAATTAAAAGTATGCCGTTTTCACATTTTCTATTCGAAATTCATGTCGTTTCAAAACCAAAAAAAACGTACCTAACTGCCACTTCAGTTCCCGTTCTATACGAGAGAGCCTAAATCTAGACATATAATGGGCCAACCAAATTTAACTGGATCCATAGGCCTAAGTTCAATGATCCAAAGTCAAAAATAACCATACACACTACACTCGGTTGGGATACTGCAATAGAAGAGTGGTTTGGTCCAAAAGGCAAAGGCCGTGTAGGTACATGCATGTCTTCGACAAGCTGTCTCTAAGTTATGTTCCTAAATGCTTAGCCCCTCTGTTAAAGGGTTTAATTAGTCGAAAAATAATTATGTGATTAAACTTTTTTTTTAAGTGACTAATTAATCAATGAGATCTATGTAATATTATTCTAGAAGAGTTACCAACTTACCATTGTCTTTCAAAGCATTCATGAAAACTTTAACCAGTTTGTCCGCCTGACTTAACGTCAAACTCAAGAGTAGATTCATTTAGTGCCATTCTTTAATTTTTATTTTGAAGTTTATGTTGTGTGGGTTTGATATATACTAATAACTTTCTCAATATAATGCAGGTGTTCATATATATAGAGTAATTTTATGACAATTACATTAATTAATTTTGCCTTACCCCACCACCAAACTTTTCCACTCTGTAAAATCTTTTCCTCCAAATAAATTGTGCGGGCCAAATTAAGTTCATCAGCCCAGTGTATCGATTAACTCTAATCAAGCAAGTGTTTTACGTAATTGATTTGTTTTTTTTTTTAATACATTATCAGAAAAATATGATCATAAAACCCATGTGAATGTTACGAACTTAAATGGGTTTTACTAATGAATGTTATTCCAAATATCAATATTTGCACCAAGTCACTCAACTTACATAAATTGAGCTACCTCTAACTATTTAGCAACCCGATTTTTGGCTAGTTATATATTTCGTTGGTAAGCCAACCCCACTTTTGATGTCTAATTATTTCATGTTACAGCGATTAATAAAATAAAATAAACTTTTAACACAGTTACACAGATATGCACCTTAATTGCAAAAAATAATTAATAACAAAACAGAAATTCTTTGACTCGAACTAAGAAAAGTAGGTTACGTAAATGAATCTTCAATCTTCTTATTATCCTTGTTTGAAAGCATACGTATGAGAGAACCGATGAGTGAAAGCAAAAGTGATCGTTCTGTTGGAGATGGGACTTAGTGTAATTGTGTTCATCAAATTTTTAACTAAAACTGGCAATACTTATGGTGTAGTGTGTTAATGACTATCTATTGTTTTTTTCTGCAAAATGTATATGTTAAATTAAAGTGAATACCTACCTCGGAGAATATTTGTGCATAGCCAAATTATTTCATCGACTTAGTTTAGCCATTACCTCTCAAACCGTAAGCAAATAATATATTTTCTTACTTTTAAAGAAGAAATATATAATTTGGCGAGATGATAATTGTTTTGACTAGTCTAATAAATACCAGCTAATGCTCAAGTCACTCAACTTATTAGAATACCAATTTTAATTTAAATTGCTAATAGAATTAAAATAATAATAATTAATACATTGCAAATAAAAACATTCTTAGCAAATTTCAAATTTACAGAAAGTATAGTACCACTTGATTATTAAAAACTGGCTCAAGAAAATATGTGTAAATATTAAATTCAGTAACTTATTACGTTTCTAACATATGTAAATATCAACTAATGAAGTTTCATTATTTGAAAGAAAAAAAATTGATGGTCCCTTTGGATAAAAGCAGTGTTCAAGAAAGCGCTAGGCGCTAAGCGGGCGGTGACCCAGTGCCTAGCGCCTAGAACGCCTAATCGGGGCCTAGACGATTTTTTAGGCGGTTTAGACGTTTATAACATAAAACATTATCAATATGATATTATATATAAAAGTTATATAAAATATCTATATAAAACTAAAAATTATGACATTATAAATAAAAATTAGATAAAATATTTATTTATATTTATATTAAACAATATATGAATATTTATAACTATATATATAAATAAAACTCTAATTGAAATTGAAAAAATACATTAAACAAGATCTATGTAATTTTAGGCGGTCAAGGCGGTTATCTAGGCGTCGGATGAGAGCCTAGCGCCTAGTCGGGGCCTAGGCGACCGCCTAGACCGCTTTTTAGAACACTGGATAAAAGTAACTACTGAAAAAGTATTGTGAGATTTGTTACTCAAAAGTCAGACCTTTAGCTCTGAAAGCTTTAATTTATAGGTTTGTATTTTTTTTTGTCCATTGGTTTTCTTATATCATGTAGATTTATATTTCTTAAGTTTGGTATTTTTAAATCAGTCTTGATCATTCATTTCGTTTATTAAAACAAAACTAACCAGATTGGCTTGTTTAAGAGTTGCTTAATTTGCCCATTTGATTTTTATTGTATGTAATGAAGAGTTGTCAATACAACGATAATACTAAAATTTTATTTAACGCATATTAATGAAAGCTTCATGAGTAAATGTTTGGCAAAAAAAAAAAAAACACATCGTAAATGACATCGATTATTAAATGATAACTATTGCAGTAAGCTTAGATATATAAAACTACGTAGATCCAGAAATAAGTCTTACCCTGGGGTATGGTGTCTGAATCATCTGAGGACCTTATTGGACTTAATTATGGATCTACGAATAAATTTAAAAAGTTCCTCGGACATCTCCAGATCTCCTTAACAATTTTCTCATCCCTCTCCTTAACAAGAATTGCATCGATTCCTTGAAAGTACTTGATAGAAGTGTCGATGATGGAGTGCGGGTCTTCGATCTCAGGACGGGTCTTCTCGTACTCGACGGTCCATATCACGTGGCTACCACCTTTATTCTTAGGAGTAACGGTGATGATTCCTTCTAGCTTCTTGTAGCACTTCGAGATATCAACGCTGCTTATTTTTATCTTAACCTTTCTCTCCTCCAAATTCCCATCGTCCATAGTCACCACGGCCGTCGCTTTGATGAAACAAAGTAATTAGGTTTTGCTTAATAAATATGTATGAATTGAATGAGATTTTATGTAATGGAGAGGATCGTTACCGTTGTCTTCAACAGGCAGATTCGAGATCTCGAGGAAAGCTTTAAAGAATTTGTCCACCGGAGACTCAACGTCAAAATCTCTAGTTAAAACACCATCCAGTGCCATTCTCTAATTAGTTTTTTTTTTTAAAGTATATGTTCTGTGGTTTTGATAATAATAATAGTCTCAACTAAGATGTTTATATAGAGAGATCAAGAAATAGTGTTATGAAATTACATTAATCCCCTTAATTATTTTACCTAACCCCACCCAGTGAACTTTTTCACCATATAGAATATTTCTAAACTTAACCAAATGTTTCAGCATTTTGTATTTTGCGTCACCCACTTAATAATCTAATGTGGTACACAAGGAGGGTAAATAAATAATGCAGGCCAAATTGATAGCATCTACCCAATGGATTAATTCACTCCAACTAAGCTAGCAAAGTATATTATCTCGTGAAACATAGCAGTCAATTAGGGTTTAAGCAAGCATTATGAATTGAAGATGTGTAATGAATTTAAAATGGTTTTGGCTAATGATTATTCTGAAATAAAATCAATATAGTCAATAGTTACTCAACTTACACAAACTGAGCAACCTATAATTGCAATTATTTTTAGCATGCAACCCGAATATTGATTTGTCTTTTTTTTTTTTTTGGTAACACATCTAGCGATTAACTGGAACAGAGAAAATCATTCAACCAAAAAAAAAAAAAAAAAACTAACGATTATTTAAGAAATAAGAAACATCCTTATTCCGTAACTTGAACTAAGCATAACATGTTACGTAATTGATTCTCTAAATTTCCTTTTTGAGAAAAAGGTATAATGAGATTAATAAAAAGGTTTTTGAATTATCATAACTTGGTGCGGTGAGATGAACGTGGCTCGAGAAAGGACAATCGTTCCTGTAGCAAAACTCTCTCTTCTCTCTCCTTGAAGGCGATTTTTCCTTTTCTTCCGCTTTTAGATCTAGGGTTGTGACTAAAGTGCTTCAACGATGGCCGGCGGTCTTGAAATTTGAGGTGCGGTGGTGAGACAGGTTCTGTCTTCGTCAGTGGTGGTGTGGATTCCTCTCCAACGATCTTGCGGTGGCTCCGGTTGAGCGGTGGCTCCGGTTGAGCGGTGGGTTGATCTGGTGCTGTCGCCTCTGGTTGAGGACGCTGGAGGTTGCATCGGTGTTGTCTCGTGGCTCAGCCGTCCGATTGGAAGCTGCAACAATGGCGGAAGTCAACGGAGAGGTGGTGGGTTCGCTGAGTAGTTATGGTGGTTCACGTTAGACCGGCAATCTTGATGGCTACTACGGGTTTACAGATCTAGTGTGCTCGCCTGAGCCTTCGGCCTCTAGATCTGCCGTGGTGGTGTCCACCGGACCGAATTGATGGTTGTGTCTCTGAGAGATCTGAGGGTTTCCGGTTGGGTTTGTGGGGATAGTTCCCAGTGGGTCGGATTACTAGGCATGGGATCTGACTCCGTAGAGCCGTTTGTTGGCGAGTTACGCATCTCGGGAGGACTGTAGCGGGTTCGGTGGCTCGACGGTGTGAAGCTGACGGCGGAAATTGGATTCTTCCGTCATTGGCCTCATCCCCTCGTCGCTACCGCAAAGCCGTCGTCCTTGAATCCACCGGGGTTGGTGCGTCTGACTCGTCACCTCCGGTTAACAACAAGTTCCGAGCCGCAGCTCCGTTACCGGCGTTTCCCGATGGTTTTTTTTTTTGTAACTGTACCTTTGAATTGTAACGCTTATGGCTCAAGCCCATTAAGGGGATTTTTAATATAAAGTTAAAAAAAAAAAAAAAAAAAAAAAAAAAACTTGGTGCGGTGAATCGTTCATGATCCAACATCTGTCTATTTTCCCTTTATGACTCAATTTGTAATTTTATTCAAGATGAGTCTCTGTTAAATTAGAGTGAACACCAAACCGGCTACCTGGAAGAAAATAGAAATTGTGAAGACCTAGTATTTTCACATGCTTAATTTAGCAAGAAACACGAACCACAGATTCATATTTAGTATTTTTCAAGAAGAAAATGTGACTATGTGGACGAATAGGTTTTTGATCAAAAGGAAGTCGTTTTGACTAATGTACATCATCAAATAAATATCAGTAGTTAAAGCTTAAGCCACTCAACTTTTTTTTTGATAAAGGAAGTCACTCAACTTACTCGAAGAAAGAACTTTAGTATTTATTTTTTGGTTTTAAATATTAAAAAAAAAACAACTTTAGATTCAATCACGATACATTATAAATAATAAAACAAAATTATTAAGAAATTTTTGCAAGACTATCTTTTTTTTTTTCTTGAAGAGTTTACTAAACTAGATTGAATGGATACAAAGGTTGGATCTAAACTTGTATGCCTTACAAAATTTTCCAAGAAAACAAGTTGAGAAAAATAGGCAGATATATTACAAGCTTTGAGTGATATTAGAGACTATATTTATAAATATGAAATTGAATAACTAAATAATTATCATAAAATATTTAAAAACAATATATTATGAATTTTCATTATTTGAAAATAAAAAGTTGATAGTTCCTTTAGAATAACTGAATAAAAGTATGTGTGATTTGCTAATAATCTATATAGATTATTATATATATAGTGAAAATTACTGAATAAAAGTATATATATATATATATATATATATATATATATATATATAGTGAAAATTATCAATCAAAATATCTATTCAATAGAAATTGTTAATTTGAGGCTAGTGAATGCTCACTGAACACAACTTTGTAATTCTAAGAGATCGACTTTGAGAAGCTGAAGGGATGATTTTATTTATTAAGAGAAGAGGGCTATGCATAGCTTTTACATAAAACAATAGAGAATACCTTAATTAATAAGTTGAAAACTAAGAACAAACTCTACCCTTTGAACAGAATAGATTATCCCAGAGACTAGGAAATTATTGACAAACGTAAGACATATATATAGCAAAAGAACCGAATATCTAACATCCCTCCCCAAATTCACAACTTTTTTTTTTTTTTTTTTTTTTTTTTTTTGAAAATACCATTTTATATATATAAACACGAGTCAATACAACGATGAAGCACTAGAGCATAGAGTGTAAGGAAGGAGAATGTTGAGAAGTGTGATAGCATCGATCACTTCCTCGTTGTTGCTCAGAACTAGGCCTGGGCATTCGGATTTCAAATCGGATTCGGATCGGATATATTCGGATTCGGATAATTCGGGTATGAGAGTTTATTATCCGTTCGGATTTTATGATTTTTCGGTTCGGTTTCGGTTCGGATATATTCGGATTCGGATAATTTGGATAGGAGAATTTATTATCCGTTCGGATTTTATGAGTCACCGACTCGGTTTCGGTTCGGATAGGTGTCGGATTCGGATCGGTTTTCGGGAAAAAAAACTTAAAAATAGTTCAATCTTAATAAAAATTGGTTTAATCTTACTAAAATTTGGTTAAATTTTGCAAAAATATGTATAATTTTAACAAATATAACTAAATTTTTTCCCAAATCTAGGATATTTAGGATATTTTTGTTATTTGCTATAAAATTACAACTAAGGGGGGTTATTGGATGAAAGAATTGAATAGAATTCAATTAGATAGAATTAAAGAAGTAAGCTACAGATTTTTAAGGAATTGTTTAATTCTAACGATTATACTTTTTAATATTTTAATAGAATTTGGTAGAAAATTATCCCACGATTGTAGCTCTCCACTTAACCTCTATCCAATCTATACGATCCATCTTCTTCCTGTATAGGTAGGGTTAATATTCTGGTCATGAAGAGAGGAGGCATCATCATCTCTCATTAATCTCACTCCCAATCTATTCTGTCACATAATCCTTCACACTCCTTCCTTTGGTTCCACCATTGTTGTGCTGTTTGATCCATAACCAATCTCTCTCTTCAAACTCACTTTAAGCTTACTACAGATAATTCTGATGTCGCTCTTAGAGATAATCTTGTCTCCTTCCAGACGCTAATCGCACAAGTTTCCGGCGACGGTATCGATGTCAGTCCCGGTCTCGGAGATGCTCCCACCTCTACCGTCAAACCGCTAACTGCACAATTGTTGTAATTCTTACATCTAACCTCATTGAGGTTAGTTCACTCTTTCTTTATGTCTCTCTCTTTATCACACTATGTTCTTGTTCTTGCTTAGAGAGGAACACAAGAAACGTTTTTGCTTTAATCTTCTACATTGTATTAATTGGATCACAAGGATACTCTTACACAACACACATAACACATACATATAGTGGTTTATCTCCACTTGCTACTCTAGACACATGAACCTTAATCATGACTCTTACACAAGCCATACTCCTAAACACTAGGCTAACTATTGACCTTACTTCTAGATAGAAGTCATACAAGCAACGTTTAACAACTCTCGTAGACTCTTACCACTCATACTAACAACCATTTAGACAAAACACTCTTCACTAGTTTGGGCCTTTTCACTTGTAGGCCCATCACACCAAACAGAAAAACACCAAGCCCAACTTCCTTGTTGACTTGTCTTCTGTCGTTGACTCTCTTTGTCGACTTCTTCTTCTTCTCTTTGCTCTGCTAAAGCTTTCTCTTTGTTGCAGGTTTAATCAAGGACTCAATTCCCAACAACAATTCTCCGGAGACCGTCACCGACAATGTCAAAACCTAAGCGTCCCAATATAGTTTTTAATTCTTTCAAAATCACAACCTAAAAGCTGAGAATTTGTTCTTTACATTTTACACTAGAATTTCTATTAAATTCTTGTCAAATAACTTTTTCATCCAAAACTACATAATATTGAATAACACTTGCATTTGATAGAATTAAGAAATTAAGAAATTGAATAACAGAAGAATTTAAAAGAATTCATAAAATACCTTGTTGAATAACACTAGAATTTAACATTCTATTAAATTCTTCCAAATTCACTCGTTCAATACCCCCACCTAAATATAACTAATATTTTTGGATATATAATTTTTATTTCCGGTTTTCGGATATCCTTTCGGTTTTCGGTTCGGATCGGGTTCGGTTCGGATAATTCGGATAGGAGAATTCATTATCCGTTCAGATTTTGTGACTATTCGGTTTGGGTTCGGTTCCGGATTTTTTGGATCGGTTTCGGATCGGTTTTCGGATTTTGGGTTTTATACCCAGGCCTACTCAGAACTGTGGCCGTTCCCTCAAAATGATTTCCACTCAATTCCATTGCAATGAATACGAATGCATAGTCGTGACCGTTCATTCCCCCCACCCCGGGAAACTCGCCACATATAGTTGTCGGTGAAAGTTCCCTATAAAGATTTATGAACACAGTTGGCATCATGCATTGATTTATTTGTACTTATCAGATTAGTAAAGTTAGAGAGATAAGGGAAAAGATTAATTCACATTAATTGGTAAATGTGTATACAATAGAGTATTTATACTCTGTTAAATATGAGCTGTAATTACATTGTAAGCTATATACAAGTATTAAGTTATATACTCTAATAGTGCTTAAAAGTTACGATCTTAAAAAACCACATAAAATTCAATCTTCACGACTTGCATTTGAAGGCGATTTATATTAAGCGTCGTCTCAATATTTTCGAAGAAAACCATATGGGTTTGTGGATCAACCCCTATGTCTGCCAAATTAACCAAACGCCTGTGCCGAGTTTCAAAGATACGAGTCAGCCGAGTGACTCTTGAACAAGTTTGTCCACTAAAGGTTGCAAGGCCCATTCATATTCCTTTTTTATTTAACATTAATTGTTTTTCCATTTTTATTTTGTATTTTCCTAAGAAATGCTTATAAAATATCTAATATCTTCTTACATTATTGATAGTTTTATTCTTATTAGATATCCTGTTTAATTTTTTTCGTACCTTGTTTTCAAAATTCTTACATACTCCATATTTTTGTAAAAAGTCATAAATCAAGATAAATACAACAACTAATTAATCTCCATAATATACTATAGATTTGATAAAAACTTATTTTGAGAAAAAAAGCTTAACATACTGAAAGTAAAGTAAAAATATGAACTACGTGCATCATTTATTCAAAAATGAAGCATTTTAAAAAAATTTATATTTTTAAACTTAGTTATAGTTTTAGGTGAAAAATAAATTTCTCTAGACCATTTAAACAATAATTTATATTTTGGGTATATCATTTAATATTAATATATAATTACATAAAATAATTAAATAATCCCTATAAACAAAATTTCTGGTTCTGCCACTGGTTGCAATCACTGCATTTGCCCATCAGCATTCATTTCGTTAATTAGAAACGAAAAGATGAAAAAGAAAGAAAGAAAGAAAAATATTTCTTGTAAAGCTTTTGATGAAGAGACTAAAATGTAAGATTTCATCTCAATGGCAATGCATATATATATTAGTCATATTCAGTGCCATTCTCTAATTAAAATAAAAATAAAAAAGTATATTATTTAGAGAGTTCTTCTCAACTAAGTTGTTTCTACATATGAAAATCACATTAACAATATTTACCTAACCCCACTACGTACCTATCTTTTTCACCAGAGGGAATCTTTCCAACTTAAACCAAAGGTTTTAGCATTTTCGTTTTACGCAACCACTCAATTACTTTATTCATTGCATGGCAGTCTAAAAAAAACATGCAGAAACAAGAAAAGTAACTATTGATTTTCATATGGGTAATGTATCAAAAATCTCAATTACGTACCTCCAACCAAGAAATTACTATGAAAACATTTTTAAGAACATGTGACTACCAACCGATGATGAATTTACAGTGGATTTGACCAATGGATTGTGAAATGAATACCAAATATTATTTATCGTAATTGATTTTTTCTCATTGCTAGAGAAATATAATTATCAACCGATGGGAACGTGACGAATCTCAAATGGTGTTAAAGTATGAAAAAAACAAAAGTTCTATGGTTTGAGTCAATAATGGTGAAAGTGATTGTTCCGTTGTAAATGAGACTTTGTGTGTGTTCATCAAATTAGTTAATCCCCAAAATGGTAATGCATGCATTATTAACATATACGAAAGTTTGAATTGTTTATGACTCATTACAACACCTATATAATCTACTTTATGACTCACAAGTTGTTTAAGATGAGTTTGTTACATCAAAGCAATTGCCTACGTAGATAAGAGTATCTGAATTGTGAAGAGTTTAATTTAGCAAAAAACTCGAACCTTACGCAATTGATTACTTTTCAAGAAGAAGAAAATTACTATCTTTCAAATAATTTTTTTTTTAAAAAAATCACTATCATCATATATGTGGACCAATGTGGGTATTTGATGAAAGGCAAGTTCTTTTGACTAATGAACATCATCGAATATTTTCAAAAAACGCTCCACTCTTTTTCAATAACCAACTATATATAATTTCAATTACTTTACAATTCATTGAAAAATTATAAAACAAAATTGAGTAACAAAATTTATACTTGGCTAGTTGAAAATGTATTCAAGATAATATTTATTGATATCCAGTTACGTAACTGAATTTTCATATTGTATTTGCCAATGATTGATAATGTATTTTTATTAACCATAAGAAAAATTTGGTAAACTCTCCGGATTAAAGTAATTACTGAAAGAGTGTGTGTGATTTGCTAATAATTATCTTTTGGCCCGAGAGCCTAGAGTTGTCTATGCATGTTTTCCTTATAACATAGAGATTATTAACTCTTAAGAGTATATATATATTTTCAATTTATGCTAAATTTATTTTGTTCCCTTAGAAAACAAGCGAACATATTAAAAAAATAATATATGTTGAGAGTTTTGTCATCCAGGTGTTTTACTCTTTGCATGTGATAGTAGAGAATTGGAGCTTCTTTTGGCAATGAGTAATGTAATTAGAACCATGACTTATGGGCTTAGGGCAACGTTTTCATTTTTCTTCAACTTTTTCGAATAACCAACTTTAATATCAATTACTGTACATTACATTTCGGAAAAAAAAAAACTAAAACAAAAATTGTGTAACATGCGTAAGTTATATACTGTGCTTGATTATTTAAACATATATTCAAGACTTTAATTATTGATATCATGAGCAACTTAATTTTCATAACATTAAAATGATCGGATATTAAATTTTTATATATGAGATTTTGATAAACTACAAGAGTACGTGTGTGATTTGCTAATAATAACATGTCGGTACGATATAAAGAAAAAAAACAAAACAAAAACAAAAAAACATTTTGGTACGAAAGTCTTTGCATGTATATGAATTGAACTGTCTAGAATTTTTTATTGTTTTTTTTTTCTGTCATGGAGATTCAATTAATTCTTATATATTTTAATTTCAATTAATTCTTGATAATTCAATTCGTTTCTTTAGAAAATTGCCATGTCCCTATTTTCTTATTTAATATCACTTTGTTTAACTATTCAGACAGTGACGTGATTAAGGGACAAAACCCGGATTTCTACAAGAAGCTTGAAGGAACCATGACCGTCATTTACACGGAAGGCAATGAAGGTGGCCGCGCGTGCGATATGGATATGGACGGTGCAGTATGAGAAGATTAACGATGACATTAAGGACTCACGATTCATCATCGACCTAGTACAAAATAATACTATCAGGAGATGGATGAGAGAATCTTAATCACGTCACTGTCGATGATGGTTTCTTTGAGCGGCTTGAACCACTCCGGGATCTGAAAGCCCTCCACTCTTAACTGGGCATATAATACTATATTATTCATGGGCATATATGATATATATGTATCTTGAAAGATACGTAACGTGCCTATACACCAAAAATCAAACTCCGCAATCATAAACGTGGATGTTTCATAAAGAGGTTCCAGTTTATTCAACTTCTTCATACTTAGGAAAATCATATAGAAACGATCGAAACCCTCTTATATAATTTAAAGATATTTCTAGTTTTAGGCAATAGATTGCTTAAGCAGATACTCATCTATCTCTTTGAAGTTCTTGACAGCAAAGTCCTTGATGACGTGTGGGTCATCGATCTCATGGGAGGTCTTCTCAAACTCACCGGACCATTTCAGAAGGCTACCACCATCCTTAGGAATAACGGTGATGGTTCCTTTGAAAGTTTTGTAGTACTCCAACATTTCTCCGCCAATGATGCTGTACGACATGCTTTTGTTCTCCAAATCCACTGCTTCGATCCTCTCAGCCGATATCTTCACCAGTGGAGATCCTATATATACGTTTAAGAATAGAAGCAATGAACAATTTTTTGAATAAAGATATGGTGAAAGATAGTCAATGAGGACATAGAGCATTTAGGGTTCATACTGAGTTATATAGCCCACTAAGTAACATGAATGATTCTTTTATTATAATCTTTAATACATACATCTCTTCCGGTCAAGAACCACACTTGGTTTTTTTAAAAATAAATGTCTTCCTGAATATAAACTCAATCTTGGGTGCGACAAGATTTATGGTTCTCTCCAATAAATTTAGCCATTTAGGTAACTATTCGAAATATGAATTATTAATGGTTACAAATTGAAGAAAGAATGAGACACTGTACCTTCTCCATAAGTAATGAGGCGAATGGAGCCAGGAGCGTTGCCATCGCCGGCTAGAACTTGGATGGTTTTGTAGTCGTTAGGGAAAGCTTTGGGGAAGAGATTGATGCCGTCACCGAGGGCTACCCAAAACTTTTCAGCCGGAGACTTAACCTCAACCTCCACATGAAGAACACCACTCAATCCCATTTTTCTACTTTACAAAAAAACTCAATTATTATTTGTATGTCTTTGAATGATTTGTTTGTATAACTTGTCAATGAACGTGTCTATATATAGAGAGGTTTTGAAGCCTTTAGTGATATTATAAATTGCATTAACTTTTAGGAGCAAATCATCCAACCAATTTTTCATCCTATGGGTCCTTTTACAATTAACCAAAAGCATATGCATTTGCCATTCTTCATTGCTATCTCACCCACTCAAGGAGGTGGGTGAATCACTAAATTGATGCATGGTTAACTTTCAGTACAAAGAAAATACAAAATGGTCAATATATAAACAAAAAAAAAAAAATCTGTACTACTTAAAAAAAATATTTCTGTCGGTGATAAATGTTTTTTAAAAAACATATAGATTTTAATTTTGAGCAAACAAAGATATAGATGTTAGTTTTATGCATGGTTACACTATTTTTTCTTCTTATTATGGATTTCGATTTTGAGAAAACAAAAATATTTCAACTTTTTCATATTTTTACATGATTTTATATATACCATTTGTAGCACTTGATTAATTGCAAAACGAAAATGAAGTTTGAGGATAACCTTTTTTTTTTTTTTTTTTTTTTGGGCAACAAAAAGTTTGAGGATAACCTATAATCGGTTTCTCCTCTTTCAAGGTTTGTAGATCAAAATTTCTTAGCAGATTTGCCAGCTAATAATGATGATAATCAGTCTTTCAATTAAGTTTAATATATTTGAAAAACAATTTATCATATAGAGTTTTTATGGTCTAGAGATGATAGAAGTGTCTCTTTCGTATTTCTTCAGATCGATTGTGTGAGATTACCATTGACCCCAACTATCTTTTGTATCGTTCAACAAAGAACGGGAAAACCGATCATTTCATACTCCAGCTAAAGTACTATGTTCAATTCATATCCCAAATTTATAGTTGTGCAAATCCATACACTAACTATTCGTAATTTCAAATTCACTTCCCAAACTAACTAATTCGTGCTAGTTTATACCCAAACCCTGACGATGTTAGAAGTCCGTCAACGGTTGCTTACGTGGATGCCACGTGTGAACGACGTCGTTTTGTGATGGACAAAGAGACAATAAAATTTTGTTAAAACGTCGTCGTTTTACGTGAGTCTTCACCTTCTTCAACTTTTATTTCTTTCTCTCCCGACAATGTTCCTTAAGATCTTAAGTCGAAAATAAGAGATTCTGTTACGAGTTGAAGCTACGTGAAAGACGTGTTGCAGGACGTGAAGAGCTTCTGTTAGTGGAATAGGAGATTCTATATTTGAGTGGAAGGAAAAATGAGGTACGTTTCATTCAAATTTAGGGTTTTAAAAATTGGGGTTTTTTTATCAAACGATCAAATTGCGAGTGTATTGTTATAAAATGCGATGGATTTTGTGTGTATTTCTATATTTTGGATGAGATTGATGGGTGTTTTAAGGTTTTGAGTTAAGAATTGACTATGTAATTTTTATGAGCACCAAGTGTTCGATAAAATGTCAAAACGAAAAAATCATTTTTTTCTTTCATTTTCAGCAATGAAGACGATGCAAGTTTCCAATGCTACTACGGTGGGAAGTTTATAGTAGATAATGGGAATAAATTTAGCATGTTGGAGGAGGGATTCTCAGCCTTGAAAGCAAACCACAAGCATTATTGACCAATTTGATGGAGTCGTTGAACGAGTCTCTTTGTCAGCAACGCATTTGGTTTAAGCTTCCATATGAGGAGTATACAGAGCTTAAGCTTAAGTCCCAGGAGATTGAAAGTTTTTGTTATAATCTCAGGAGAACTTTTACGGTTATGTAATGGTGTTTTAGGTTCTGTTTGGTTATGTAATGGTGAATGATAATGTCGTTGTCCTTTTATGGTACTAATATTTATTGTTTTTTTGGTACTGATAGTTATTGTTTCTTTTGGTCTGTTTTTCCTCAAAAACCATCTATTTTCCAAAAAAAAAAAATTCACTTCCCAAAAAAGAAGAAGACTCACGTAAAACGACGTCGTTCTACCAAACTTTTATTGTCTCTTTGTCCATCACAAAACGACGTCGTTCACATGTGGCATCCACGTAAGCAACCGTTGACGGATTTCTAACACCGTCACGGCTTGGGTATAAACTAGCACGAATTAGTTAGTTTGGGAAGTGAATTTGAAATTACGAATAGTTAGTGTATGGATTTGCACAACTGTAAATTTGGAGTATGAATTGAACATAGTACTTTAGCTGGGGTATGAAATGACCGGTTTCCCAACAAAGAACCAAGTAAGTGAAGTAGCACATTTTACATAATTGGTTCTCATTTATGACCTCTCATAATAACTGTGGACCAACATGTGAAACATGATGAGATTTAAATGGTTATAAATAATGTATTTATCAAAAATAAATCAGTAAACGTTCACGTCACACAATTATTTAAACATAACAACTTATTAATTGCAAATTTATTTTCATAAGAACAAAACTTTCTAATGATAAAGATCTGAATGTTTTTGCTCTTTATCTTGTACGATAATGTTCTTGGTGGCATGGTTAGGTGCAATAAAGCCAAAACAATTTCATCATCGTTAGGTACTTTTATTTCACAATTGTGCGAGAAAACAGCATGTTGTTTTCCATTGCTATAAAACGGCAACCACTCTGCAATCTTAAAATAACAAGGTTCTAAATGAGTCATCATTTCTATTTGAAGCAAATGTTCATCGGAACCCAAATCTTTACTATACAATTGGATACGTTAAAATTACAGTAGCCTAGGATTTGACAAGCTTATTATAAAACTAAGATTGCTTTTAAGAAAATTATAGGTTTTCTTCTAACAAGCCACTTATAAATTTAAAATTATATAATCTCTATCCCTCAACGAACTATGAAAACAACATTAGTTAATAGCAATTGAAACGAAAAGGGTAAGGAAACACTCTGAAAGCAGCTTCTCATCTCCATTTGATCGACAGAAATACGTACGTACACAAACTGGTTAGAAGGAGATAGATTCAGACAAGAGAACCAAACCGAGAATTTGACCTTAAAAGCGTTAAAGAAACATCAAGTCTTTACTTTCTCAAGATGGCTCTCATTTTCTTTTGCTTCACGTACATGTAATCTACGTATTTTTTAGCTCTACCGTCTCTTTCTCTTTCTCTCTCTTGAATGAACTTCGGTAGTTGAAATACTGCTGTTGAGTATTTCAGAAACCTAACCCTCAAAATCAATTAACTTTATTACACTCTCTATATTTATCATCTTCAACTACAACAATCTTCTGTTTCTTTGGAAGCAACTAACTTACAAAGGATATATTCACGACTACAAAGACACACCCTCTTCTGTCTTAAGGACGAGACAGAGAAGCTTCTTCTATTGGCTTTGGAATGGTCTCTGGCATCTACGAAGCATAAGAAAAAACCAAATCCAAACTAAAGCTATGCATTTTCCTCTTGTTTCGGCTTGGAACAAGAGAAGGAGAAGCAAATCTTATGATACGGATCCATGTACGTTCCTTTTCTCCATCATCTTCGCCAGATGGCATAAAAGTATGTTATCATTTTTGTTTCGACATTACTACTAGTGAATAAAAAGGGTTTTGGTGAAACTGAATCATCTGTGTGAAACTAACCTGATTCTCAGGGGTCTACAGAACAGCAGAGTGCTGGCAAATCGAAGATCAAGCGTCTCAGCCAAGGAAGCGAAGATTCGGGTCATCAGTTTATACCCTCAAGGAGATGGAGGAGGCCACAAGTTCTTTCAGCGATGAGATCTCCTCGGCAAAGGAGGCTTTGGTCGAGTATACAAAGGCACTCTAAAAACAGGAGAGGTAGGAACTATATTGCTTCATTTATGTGATTTACAGGCTTTGTAATGTTACAAACACTTTTCTATGGAAGAGGAGCTATTAGAGTAGGATACATATTATCTTGATCCCTTGTTATTTGAAGGTTGTTGCAATCAAGAAGATGGATTTACCTACGTTTAAAAAGGCTGATGGAGAAAGAGAATTTCGTGTGGAGGTGGATATCTTGAGCAGACTCGACCATCCAAATCTGGTATCATTGATTGGCTATTGTGCAGATGGAAAACACCGGTTCCTAGTATATGAATATATGCAAAATGGAAACCTGCAAGATCATTTGAATGGTAAGTCCATGAAATAAGAGTCAAGTCCAGTAAAGGCAATTGGTGACTGAACCACGTCTTTCTCACAGGAATAAAAGAAGCAAAAATAAGCTGGTCAATAAGGCTCAGAATTGCACTTGGAGCAGCCAAAGGACTCGCGTATCTACATTCAAGTTCTTCTGTTGGGATTCCAATTGTTCATAGAGATTTCAAATCCACCAACGTTCTACTAGACTCCAACTATGATGCAAAGGTGATTACACAGTAAATTAAATGGATGGTTTATGCAGCACTAATATCAAGCATACAGTAGAACTAAGACGTGAATGTATCCTTGCAGATATCCGACTTTGGACTAGCAAAGTTGATGCCAGAAGGAAAGGATACTTGTGTGACAGCAAGAGTTCTAGGAACATTTGGCTATTTCGACCCAGAATATACATCGGTAAAATATTCTTACGTATATCTTCGCATGATTCACTTCCTGTAAATGAAAATGATGAGATGGCAAAGGGTTCACTAGACGCTACTTAACTAAATTGAAAACTCACTAATAATAACATGAAATGTCCTGGAATAGTAACTTTAATTACACTCACATATCAGAACCATAAGCAAGGAAGTACAGTTTTTAGCATAACTTGTTTTCCATTTTTCTGTGGCAGACAGGTAAACTTACTCTACAAAGCGACATTTATGCATTTGGGGTTGTGCTTCTAGAACTACTTACTGGACGCAGAGCAGTTGACTTAACTCAGGGCCCAAATGAACAGAACCTGGTGCTACAGGTAAAACAGACCTCATAGTTCTAAGATTCACAAACATAAAAGTTTCACAGATCAGGAAACTTAACATAGGAATAAAATACTTAATTTTCTCTACGTTTCAGGTTAGGAATATACTGAATGATAGAAAGAAATTGCGTAAGGTTATAGATGCCGAGCTGCCTCGGAATTCATACAGCATGGAAGCTATAGCTATGTTTGCTGATCTAGCATCACGGTGCATCCGTATAGAGAGTAAAGAGCGGCCTTCAGTGATGGATTGTGTTAAGGAACTGCAACTAATTATCTACACAAACTCGAAGGGTGGTTTGGGTGGGACGATTCCCACATTCAGAAGGCTCTAGACACTGAATTCTTTGAAACAAGTAATATGGATTATTGTCATTTTTCCTAAAATGAGAGGTCACTGATTAAAAACTTGATAAATATAAACAAACAATCCTAAATTCCTAATTAAGAATTACCGGAAAATTTATATTCAACTTCCAGCCACTAAACTTTCATCAAGCGATATTATTTGGATGTATATACTATAAAGTCAATAAGAAAATCGGATCAAGCAATAGATGTATTTGTATAGTATGTTGTATTTGCTATGAATGTGTTGCTTGAAGAGAAATGAGTATATATATTCAGGGGTGTAGCCTTTTTTTTTCTTTCCTTCTTTCGCCTAATGCCTAAAGAATTGACCACATGTATATGTACAAGAAAAACAATTGCTGCCTACTGGAAGCAGATAACAAAGATAAGAGTGCGTGTGAAGTACCTCTACTAAGATCATATAAACAATAGGTTGAAGCAAACGGGATTATCAACACGTACCCTTGGTCATGTCACATTTAGCTCCTACATGATGAAGCCAATCAGAATTTTTGTTATAAATTCAGACAACGTAGACAAACACAAAAACCTAATTGGTACACAGATGGAAAAACTGTACCCATGTTTACACATTTGCAGAGGAGGTCAGCTCATTATCAGACCCCACCATTTCTACTGTAGGGGTGGTGCATAGTGGAAGCTTCTTGCGCATCAAATGTTTACGCCGTTGTAACATCAAAAGGACCAAAACAGTATCTGTCTTAACAACCTCGTATCCTGCTTTCTTGTACATATTGAAAGGAGCCTCATCCACCATCCTACAATGCAAGTAGACATCTTTTGATGGACTAATCTGAGATATCAATTCCTCACTCGCCTTCAACAAATGCCACCCAATTCCCCTCCTAACAAATCATCACACAAACATTCTCATAAACGAAATCAACAAGAATAACAACACAAAGCTTCTTAAAATCATACACAGAGCTTAGCCAAATACCTTCTAAGATCCTCTTTCACAGTCATGTTGCAAATATAAGGTGATTCCTTAGGAGGAGTTGGAGAAGGAGGCGAAGCATTAGTGCCTCGTTTATCCAAACAAACCTCAACAGTTCCAGCCATCTCAGCCTCCTCCTCTCCATCATCACTAAACCCATCAACTTTTTTCCTAAAGAACCCAACTAAAGTAACTGCGTGTGGCAACACTTCTCTCCTCTCAATCAAATACTGCTTAACCAAAAACCGTAACACAGACTGATAACCAGAAGGCAATAACATCGATTCACCAAATGACTCAGCCAATAGATGCACCGTTGAATCCATCTCTTCATGTCTCATAACTCGAACCCACATCGATCCAGATTCAAGCTCCTGAAAATACGCAAATCCTTCAAGAGTTTTCAACTTCTCTAACTCATCGTTACTCAAAAACCTCCCAGTTCGAAACGTTTCCTCTAGAAACGCGTAGCTTCCGGTAGATTTCGCAGCTTCTTCTCCAGTTTCTGTAGCTGTCGAAACCGAAGAAGGAGGGAAAGCGAATCTGAGATTGGAGCGGTGAGATCTACACGAATAGAGTAATGGATATCTAGGTGAGGAAGAAGAGAAACCAAACTTCGTTGATTGGCTTGGTTTAAGAAAATCAACAGAGAAAGCGAGTGAGATGCTTAAGGCCGCCATTGACACACACAGAGACGATTATCTTTCTCTCCGATTTGGTGGTGGTTCAGTATTCGCTAATCTGTTATAACGAAATAAAATGGATAAAGTAACTGACACTAATCTATAAAACGTCGCGTTTTGAATTTACCATGAAGCTCATTAATTATTGGGCCCTATGGCCCAGATTGATAAAGTGTAAATATAGGTAATCCTTAAAACGCAGCGTTTTGCTATAAGCCTATAAGTATTTGGGCTTAAGGCCCATATTGCGATATATATAGTTTAATTTTTCCGAAGCTCGGCGATTTCAGAAGACGGAGGAGGAGCGAGGACGGCCGCCATGGATCCAGCAGGAGGAGCATCGGTGGCCAGCGATATTGGAGGAGAAGGAGAGAAATTCGCGGTGGGGAATATTTATTCAGTGAAGGTGATCACCGGAGATGAGTTCCGAGGGATCGTCATGGCTTACGACCCCATTCCCAACTTCGTCTTTTTTGATATCCTTCGCAGTTTCTTTAATTGTTTGTTTCATAAAAATCTGAGATTTAGGGATTTTTGATGTCTAGACCTGAATTTGTGGAATCCTTGATTGGTTTTTTACAAGAAGGAACAAAACCTAGACCAGGGCATTCGAAGAACGCTCGGATGGTGAATGCGAATTTTATTACAGGGCTTTCGTATTTAGGCAAAACCGAAGATCCACTTGATACAGACAACTTTTCTGTTGATCTTAATGGTCTCCGAGCTAAAGAGGCACTTGCTATCAGGTGATAAGATATTTTGTTGTTGAATCTTTTCAAAATGCAATTTTTATTGATGTTTGCTTATTTTGAGCTTACTTGGGAAAACGTATTGAGCACAGGCAAGCGGAAGCAGATGCTGAGAGAATGGGAGTTGGTGTTACCGCTGAGGCTCAGAGCATCTTCGACGCGTTGTCTAAGACGTAAGGTTCTTCTCTTTTTATTCGTTGCGGATCAAAAATAGCTAATCTCACAGCTTAGAGTGATCATGAGTCTATTTTAGCTATACGGTAGAGAGATGGGAACGAGATCTTAATCACATGTTTAGTTTACGTATTAGCTATTTGTAAATAACTGCTTGGTTTGGAGGAATTAGTTTGAGCTTCTAATGTGTTATTGCCAAAGATAAATTGTTGGAATCTGGACATGATTTAGTGTTGTATTGGCTCTAGGTTTCCAGTGATGCTAGCTTTGCAACAATATATATGCAAAGTTTCTATTTTTTGTTGTTGTAGACTAATGTTGCGTGCTCTAGTGTCAAGAATCTTTAGTGTTCTCTGTGATACAATTAAGAAGCTGTCTAGATACATAGTTTTAAATCCTAAAATTTTCTTTGTTTCTAATGTCAGTTCAGAGGAAACAGCAGAATTTACTTTTTTCTCTTTCAAATGAATCACATGTGAATTATTTTCCTTGTAGGCTTCCTGTGCAATGGGAAAACTCAGACATTCTGGTGATGAAAGAGGTACGCGTTCGTAGCCCGTATCTTTCAGATTGTGTCTTTGGAGGAACTGATGCTGCAAACAACCGAGTCAAGAAAGTGGTAAGCATCACTTTCAGTTCATTGTGTAATGTCAATTAAGCCTCTGGTGTTATATTAGTCTCTTGCATTCAAATCGGGTAATGTTGATCGAGCCTTGGGTGTGATAGTAATGCAATTTTGCCTTATCGCAGCTTGAGCTGGAGAGACGAAGGTTGCAACTCTTTGGCACATGAGACCAGTGAAAGGAGTCGGTCAGTGAAATAGCGAAAAGGGGTTTGTTGCTACTAACCCGAAAAGCTTCTAGATCTGATCGACCAGCGAAAAGTGGATATGTTTGCTTTTCGCATGTTGTTGTCTTTACTTAGAATCTGCTTGTCCTTGTAAAAGCAGATTAGAGATTTCTTGAGTTGCAGGGATTGAAATTTGGACTAATTTCACCCTGTTAATGACAAGAACAGTGAGGTCTTGTCCACTTTTTACCAGGTCTTGGTTAATTTATCGCCTGGAATGGAACTGTAATCTATTCTAAAATGTTGAACTCGAGAAACGACATTTTATTGACTTCTCCAATAGAATTTTAAATCTTGTGTGCATTAGAACTGAGTTCCTTCTTCAATGAGAAAGTTTTTAAGAAATGTTTTTATCTGTTGTTTGTTAACAGGGATCAATAAAACATGTTTCGAGTGATTGGAATTTATTGAGAATGATGCGAGTACACGCATTAGTATTGAACTATTTATAGATTCCAATGATGATCACAATATATTCATCAATTAGACCATGGTGATGTATAACACACAAGATATACACTTGAGATTGGGTAAATCAAGCATCAACTAACTTATTGATTACAAACCAACATTGATCTCTAAATGTGATCGAAATTTTAAGTTCCTACAAAGCATGAAGAGATAGAGAGATATAACAATGATCACTCTTAGGTTGCTTGATATCATTTCAATCAAGTTTCACGAATGTTGTAAAATGAATCCAAAAACCACAAAAACAATTTGTAATGTAATTCAACAATAGAACTTGTAACATAGATCGACACAATAAAGATGAGAGTTCTGCTTCTTCTAACAGGTACTAAAATATGAGCCACACAAGTTCTTTATACTACTAAGAAGGCAAAAAAAACACTCCTACTAAGTAGACAAAAAAAAAGTCCACACACTTGCTTCTAGTCTTCTACTTGAGTACTTCGCTGAGATTGAGATGCGTTCATTTGCGATCCACTACTTCCACAAGCCTGAAAACACAACCATTTACCAGCAACAATATAACAATCTCACACAAATTACAGCACCAGATTAAACTAAGATATGAGCAATTTTCCACACAAAACTGAACTCAAGATGGAAAGAGACTAACCTGAAGAGCTCTCTTACCACACGATCGAGAATTGTGCCCTGCTTGACCACATTTCTTACAATGTATTGTGCGCTTGCTAAGTTTCACTTTTTTCTTAGGTGGAGACACATTCTTTCCTTTTCTCTTTCGCTTCTTCAATGGAGACTCATCACAAGTTAGCAAAACAAGAATTATCAAAATGGTATTTTCTTTGTATTAGTTTACAGTTTGAGCATTTTATATATACCTTAAGCTTCTTCTCAGAATCCGGATCATAATCTGGATCATCACACTTAGCACGTTTTCTTTTGTTATTATCAGTATTATCAGACGCAATCTTGATCATCGCTGGATCAATACACTTAGCACGTTTTCGTTTGTTATTATCAGACGTAATCTTGATCATCGCTGGATCATTACACTTAGCACGTTTTCGTTTGTTATTATCAGACGGCGCAATATGTTGCTTAGCCTCGGGAGGGATGGTTAGCTTAGTGCCAGCTGAAAGGTAGACGCTGAAACCTAGAAGAATATTCCGGTGGTTTTTCATGAGTTCCTTCACCTTTGCAATGAAACCAGCTTTATCAGCTCTACAAAGAGACACGTAATGTCAGAGTTAATTCACAATGTGTGTTTTGTTGTATAGCAGAATTGCGAGTTAAAAGTAAGAGCAAACCAAAAATAACAGGATACAAATAATTCCATACCTGTTAGCTTTAAAATCATTGAATATCTTTATCCATTCTTTTAATTTTGCAGGTTCATTAGAAAATGCCTTTCTCACAGAAGCCATGTAAGCAGGGGCATTAAGCTTACTTAGCTCCGGTGATACTCTTATGCAGACTATGGTTTGAGATTGGCCTAACCCTTTGTTAGCCTTGGTAGGGATGGTTATCTTAGCCTCGGGAAGGAAGACATTGAGACCACGAAGCAGCTTTCGGTGCCCTTTAATGAGTTCAGTCATCCTTGCAATGCCACTATCTTTGTTGATTCTACAAAGAGACTTAATTAGTAACATCATAATCAGTTCTCATGTGTGTTTTTTGTTATCAGGAGTTGAAAATAATGCATACCGATGAGCTTTAATGTCATTCAAGACCTTGAGAAATTCTTTAAATTTTGCTGGTTCATCATGAAGTGCTTCCTTCACAGCAGTGAGGTATGAAACCGCATCATCCATAGTTGCCTTGGGTGATAAGCGTCTTCCAGACATGGGGTGAAATTGGCCTAAAATAAATAAGGTATCATTTATATATCAAAATAGATGAGATCAATCATTGAATCCCTCTTGTATCTCAAAGTTATTACCACTTTTCCTTAAAAATGGCTTAAGAATCTTTCTAGAAACAGAGCCTAGAGTGCAGAAAACAATACACATCTCATTCCTTAAGTTTTAAAGCATTTCAAATCTCATAAGCCATAATAAGCTAATTCTCACAAAAACCTATTACAAAGTCATCAAAAACTCTTTCGTCCCTTTTAAAAACCACATGGCACATAAACTACACATGTGAAGCAGTCAATTCATATCGAAGCAAACCAGTGAAACACTGGATTAGATGTCTTAATCTCATTCTCAACCAACAAAATATATATATAACTCATGCAATTCACCAATTAAGAGCTTGCCAGAGGATCGAATCATCAGATGGGTTTCATTTAGAGATGAGCTTTACGTTTTAAAAAATATCATATCTAAATTTGAGAGTTCAAGTTCCTTCCATTTCATCTCTCGGATTTGATATGATTCAGGTAAATTTCATCATAGATACAAAGAACAAAATTCGAAATCAACCCACCAATACAACTACAAAAGCAACTAAATACAAGCCTGAAATAAATTCCCAAGCAATGAAACCAGAAAATACGAAATTCTAGTTATCTAAACGAAATTAAAATATAACAAAAAGAAAAAGAAGATGACCATCGCGTATATAGTTACCGAATATCAGAGAAGAAGAAGAAGATTTGGAGAACCAGCTTATCACTTGTATACCACACGATCACGACGAGAGACGGAGACGGAGAGGAGTTTCTAGAAAAGTTTCTCGAATTTCTTGATGATAATTAAATGATTCGTTTAGGGTTTTTCTCATGTAAAAAACTTCAACCAATTAGAGTTAGAAATTATGTTAACATAAATATGAAAAATTCCAAATTTAAAATATGTATTTAGATTAAGAAAAAAAGGTAAAGAAATCTATGCATCATTCTTAAATGAAATTAAATAAATTATACAATCAGATACTAATCTTAAAAAGATAAGGAAATAAATAAATAGAGAAAATAAAAAAGAAATCAATTTATTTTTATCTTGATAATTTTTTAAAAAATGAAAGTCAAATAATTTTAAAAATAAACTTTATTCAAATAGAAATACAAAAAGCAATTTGTATAAGTTTCACGAATATAATTCGTCAACAAGACATAAGGCTTTTGACGTCGGTTAGACTCACAAAAATGCCCATTTTTCAATATTCATTTTCAAAAATGCCCCCTTTGGCTGTCTATTTTTAAAAATACCCATTTTTATGTACAAAATAACTAAATTATCCTTCTTTTAATAAAAGATATCACAAATATATAAGGAAAATATGAGAATGTGCACACATCAAAATTACAAATTTGATTTTGTAAAAACTTGTAAAACCTTTTAAATACCTTGTAAAATTTTTCCGCCAAAAAATTTTTTTTGCGGGAAAAGTGATTCTGCAATTTTTTTGGCGGAAAAATTTTACAAGGTATTTTAAAGGTTTTTTACAGTTATTTATAAGGTTTTATAATGTATTTTAAAAGGTTTTACAACGTATTTATAAGGTATTTATAAGATATTATAAGATTTTACAAGCTATTTTATAAGGTTTTATAAGTTATAAGGTTTTACAAGTTATTTATAAGGTTTTACAAGTTATAAATACCTTATAAGTACCTTGTAAAACCTTTTAAAATACATTGTAAAACCTTACAAAACACTTGTAAATATGCTGTAAAACCTTTAAAATACCTTGTAAATTTTTCCCGCCAAAAAAATTGCGGAATCAATTTTCGCGCAAAAAAAAAATTTTGGCGGGAAAAATTTTTACGGGAAAATTGCGGGATCACATTTCCCGCCAAAAAATATTTTTTATTTTGTGGACCTAATTTTGTTTCAAATAAGGGTAAAATGGTCATTAAAAATTAAAAGAGGGCAAACTTAAAAATGGACTCTCAAATGGGGCATTTTTGAAAAGGGGTATTAAAAAGAGGCATTTTTAACAATTTCTCTATTTATGGTGTCATAATTTGGATTAGAAAGACATCCGGCAAATTGTTTGTGTTCATTTTAACCGTTTTCGCATTAGTGAAACGCTTTCGATTGGCTACTGTAAACATTTTACAAGCTAAGTAGGTAGAAAAATATGGTATAAATTTTCTTAATAAATGAATAATTTGGTTTTGGAAAAAAAGAAATTGGTTAACATTAAAAATATTTTTAAATCACATCGATAACTTTGGTAGTTTGGTATACCATCATGTCAACATACTTGATTTTATACATAATAAATGACTTAATTTTCAATTATAACATTAGAAATAAATTATACAACATATATTTTGAGAATAGCGATGGCACTGCACACTATGATATGTAAAGTATAAATATAAAATTGTTCTGCCCTATTATTTGTTTCTTCTAAGACAGAGTTTTTTTTTTTTCTACGACATGCATGCATGTCGTTGAATAGTAACATTTGCACGTATTATCTTTATCAAAAAAAGAAAAAACATTTGCACGTATTGAACGATTAACCATGCATCTCTTACGAAGATACGTCGGCTTAATTTTCGTAATAACTAGTATATATAACGATATTACTTTTAGCTACATTCTATTTCGTGTTACCTACGCTTCAAACAAACATGAAAGTATGAAACAGATATTACGAAATTCTCCATTTCAGTTCAATAGTCCCGAAACAGATTGTTTTATTAATTAAAGAGCCCCAAAAGAAACACACGAGAAGCTTTTTATCGAGTATGAATCACAATCCATCTTCCCCCATCGAAAAACATATAAATAAAAAAAAACACCAACAATATGTAGAGGACAAATAGGATGATTTAGTAACATTTGCAGGCATGAAAAAGATTTATATACAAAATTTATCCATTTCATCTAAATATTTGCGAAACAGATTTTTTTAGTAACGAGCCCCAAAACAGAAGATCTCATGAATCAATCAGAGAAAGAAATACACCAAAAGGGTTTTGTCGAGTATGAATCCCAATCTGTATACTTGATTCCATCTCACCCATTGGAAAATATAAAACCACATCGGAAAATATAAAACCAGTAACAATATGTACAAGAAAATTCTCCCATAATCAACAGGTGATTCAATGGCGTTTGCCACGAATCCGTCTGGCCAGTTCCATGTCCCTGCGCATGATCGTCACCCTCCTAGCATGAATCGCAGATAGATTGGTGTCTTCAAAAAAACCCACAATAAAGGCTTCAGCAGCTTCTTGTAATGCAAGTATTGCATGGCTCTGAAACTTCAAATCGGGCTGCAGAAATAACAAGATACAAGTTTATTTATTGCTAACTCAAATAACCAATTTTACCACACAAAAAAAAAATGAAAACTCAAATAACAAGCGAAATATTCATTGAGCAGTTAAGTTCTAGTTAAGATTATATACCCTATAGTTTTCGGCGACTTCACGAACAAGACTCTGGAAACGCGCAGATCGGAAGTACTCTGATATTTGCGAATCTCACTACAGCAACGGTACGTTGTTAAACACATATCTCATAAACAAATCCGGTAGAAGAGAGTTAAACAAAATATTACCGAAGACGAGGAGGCTCAACAGGTTCAGGGATAGGTTCAGGTTCATGATCAGCCTCAGCCTCAGATTCATGATCAGCTTCAGGCTCAGATTCATGATCAGCTTCAGGCTCAGATTCATGATCAGCCTCAGCTTCAGATTCATGATCAGCCTCAGCTTCAGATTCATGATCAGCCTCAAGTACTTCGTGATCAGCCTCAGCTTCATGTTCAGATTCTTCACCCAAATTATCTAAATCGTTTGCGTCTACATCGTTGCTTATCGGTGGCTGTAATTTCGAAAGTCCAGAAAAATAAGAATCAGAACCCTAGAAACACAATCTCCGAATCTATTTAGAAACCCTAACGGAGACAAAAAGAAACTAATCAAACCTCCACGGCGATTTGCGTCCTCGGAGCTTCTAGTACTTCTACAGTACCATTACCATATGGACCTGATCTTCGTGGATTTGCTTGCTTCTTGCGAGGCATGTCTCCCAGCAGTGATTCTCCGAGCAAGATCAAGAAAGAAGTACAAGAGAGGATTCTTGGTATAACCGTTCTTGAAGAATCTCTCTAGTATCTCAATTCTCTAGTAGTTATACTTATCCTGCAATTCCTTTCTTATATAGAATAATTTGGTGGCTAGGTTTCGTTATTATTTTGAAAATGTGATAACCACGCTACCGAAATATCTAACCAAAGGTTCCAAAAACCAAAAAAAAACTACGTATTGTGAAGCTTAAATGTATCATATACGTGGACTGATAGATCAGCTGTTAGAGAACGATTTAAAAAACAAATTAAATCAAAAAGAAGAGAAAGAATCAAGATGATGTGAATTTTTATGAAATTGCAGACTTAAATAATGAGAAAAAAAAACATAAATCAAGTTTGTTAGTGGCACGCTTCCGAATGGCTACTTTAAATATTATACAAGCTAAGTAGGTAACGAAAATGTTATAAATTTTTTAAAAATGTATAATTTGGGTTTGGCAAAAAAGAATTCTAATAATATGGTACATACTAAATATATACAACTTTGATATACCGTCTTGTCATCATATTTGACTTACGCATAGTACAATGAAATACTTTTTTCGATAAAAAACATTTTAAATAAGTTATACAACTATATTGTGAGAATAGCGATGGTACTGCACACTGGGAGAACAAGCTTCTCCTTTTACACCATACGATCACGAATAGAGAGAGTTGAATTATTGTTTTAAGGATCTTCTAATTTCCAATTTTAGATTTTATTTTATTTTAATTTGGATTTCGGCAATCTTTTTATCTAAAGCTCCACGAAAGTTGACAAATAAGCAGTGTTCAAGAAACAGAACCTAGATTATCCAGTTGATTCTTTTTTTTGTGAAACTTACGTAAACAAACCCTAATATCCTCCAGCATTGGATTCAAGTCCTCAATGTCGTCACTTTCAGTGATATAAACTCAGTATCGTCTGAGCCACAAAACATGATTTTGTATTACTAAAGAATACATAAAAAAGAAAGTCCACACGCTTGCTTCTACTCTTCTGTTTGATAAGTACTTTCTCTGAGATTAAGATGCTTCCATTAATTTGCGATCCACTACTTCTACAAAAAAATAGTAACAAAATGGTATTTGAGCATTCTATACCTTAAGCTTGTGTAGATCAGGAGTTGAAAATAATTCATACCGATAAGCTTTAATATCAACCAAAACCTTGAGAAATTCTTTAAATTTTGCTGGTTCATCATGAAATGTTTTTTTTCCGAGAATGGAGGTATGAAACCGAATCATCCACTACTTCTACAAAAAAATAGTACCAAAATGGTATTTTTTTTGGATTAGTTTACAATTTGAGCATTCTATACCTTAACCTTGTGTAGATCAGGAGTTGAAAATAATTCATACCGATAAACTTTAATATCAACCAAGACATTGAGAAATTCTTAACATTTTGCTGGTTCATCATGAAATGTTTCTTTCAGAGAATGGAGGTATGAAACCGAATCATCCATAGTTAGCTCCGGTGGTACTCTTTTTCCAGCCATGGTTTGAACTTGGTCTAATCCTTTTAGTATCTAAAAAGAAAGAGAACTTTTGTTCATTAAAATATATTAAATCATCAGTGAATTTCTCTAGTATCTCAAAGCTATTATCAAATTGACTGGAATTCTTCAAGAAACAGAACCTCGAGTGCCTAAAAAGTAAAAACATACAATTCTCATTCCTCAATGTAAATAGCAACTCAAAAGATATCACGCCGCCACTTGATTTTGAATCCTTAAAATATATAATAAGCTAATTCTCAAAAAAACAATTGTTTGCTTTCCAAAGTCAACAAAAACTGTTTCATTATTTTTAAAAACCACATGGCACATAAACTCAATGAAACACTGGATTAGATATGTCTTAATATATCATTCTCAACCAAAGATAGAAGATCTCCATTCACCAATTAAGAGCTTGCCAGAGGATTAAGTGAGATAGCTTTAAGAGATTGGCTTAACACTTCTATTGGGAACAAAACAAAATCATCTCTAATTTGAGGGTTCAAGATGATCAAACTTTCATCACTTGGATTTAACTAATCAGCAGGTAAATTTTATCGCATATACAAAAATGTATTAAAAGAAAATCCAATTCAAACTCATGCTAGCAACTTAAAAAAGGAATTAAATACATTCCCTAATAGTGAACCAGAAAATACGAAACTGTTACAGAATTTTGCAGAGAAAAAACGAAGAAGGCTTGGAGAACAAGCTTCTCCTTTACACCACACGATCACGAAGAGAGAAAGAGAGACAAGTTTCTGGAATAATCTCTCGAATTTAGTGTTGCTAATTTAAAAGGTTTCGTCATATATAGGTTTTTGTTTTCAATAATACATTTGTTTCTTAATAATGAATTTTCTAAAGTTTTATAGATATGAAGAAAAAATAATTAATCCTTAGTTATAACTTATAAGAGCAAGCCCAATGGATGAATCCTTAAAAGAACTCTTAAACATTTTTTAATCATAAATTATGACAATTTTAAAATTAAGAGTTTGTGATGAATCCTTAAAATTTTCTTTGTCCAATGGTAGAATCCTTAAATGGGTTTCTTAAAAAAAAAAAAAAATTAAATTAACAACTTTGTAACTCTGAGATAAATAACTAAATCATTTTGAAAACTAAAATAAGTGATGGATTACTTTTCCAGTACAAGTTGGCCAAGTTTTCTCTGAGATTCAGTGTTTAGATCGCCAAGAGGATCAATCTCCACACCAGCTTCCTGTCAACACATCAAGATTACAATAATTATTGATAGTCCATTCGAAAAACGATAGAATACAAAGAAAATACAAGTCATACCTTAAGAATTTGAATCCCTTCTTCAAACGTTAACCTCAATGTCTTTTCAAGAAACTGCATGTATATTAGCGCCAATTATCAGAATCCAAAAAGATACAAAAACTATGTTTCTGTTACTCCTTGCTGCTCATGAATCATGATACTGCAGATATATATATGATTTACCTTCAAAGGTTTAAATGGGTATTGTTTTCCAATAGCTTCAAGTTCCTTTTTGCATTTGTTATTCAAACTAGTGAATATAAACACAAATAACTCGTCCACAAGGTCCATTATCTGCAGAAACAAGAGATATATTAGCACCAGTACTGTCACAGACTAGAAAACACTTGAGATGAATTTAGATTATTAACAACAAGTCACATATTGTCATTTGCTTGTGAAGCTGAGGAGACTGAGCTAGACAAGCAGGCTGTCCTTGGTATTCCAACCTAAATACAACAGAGCCTCCTTCACTACTACCGGCCAAGAGTTTCAGTGTGTGGATATTAACAAAATCCTTGGATAGCAAATTTTCTCTGAAAACCTACAAAAGTGATAGCTAATTAAGCAAAGCAACATACAAGAACAAAGCAACCAAATCATGGAAAGACAATAACTCTAAGATAAACAATCACTAACACTGAACAAAGTTGAATAAGGTATTCAGTTTTCTGGAAAACCCAATAAATGTTTTAACCGTAGTCACAGAACTCATAGAACATCTAATTTCGATAAACCCAGAATCAAATCTCAATTCAAAAACCATAATTTCGATAACATCTAATAACACTAATCTAATCATACCGTAAGAAATAAAACAGTTAGATTCATACCGTGATTAAGCGATTGGAGCATGGAATCGCCTAACTATTTGCCGAACGCACTGATTTGGTCCACCGAACTTATGTTGGTGACCACCGACAGTGGAGCTGATCATCACGGATGATTGGTTACGACTTTGTTTCACCTTTCTCTTCCAATTTGATGACCTAGACGCCGGATTATGAAGAACAACACGATTTGCTCTCAATTTCGCCATCGGAGAAATTAGAAAACAAGGAGAAGAGAGAGAGTCGAGAATAAAATGAATCGGGAAAGGAATTTTTTTTTTTGCTTTCTCACATTTACGAACCAATCTCGGTGCCACGTCAGCGCCTCTTATCAGCCCAAAAAACTCTAAAACAAGGAACGTTTCTTGCGTTTTAGATCAGTTTTGATTTAAATTTGGGTTTTTAATTTTAAGAAACTTAGGCTTAGAGCCCTCTAAGGATCACCATTGCTGTTGCTCTTATTTCATATCTCTATACCATTAGTAATTCAATAAATTTAATTATCTCCAACCAGTATTTTTTAAAATTAACAATTTTGTTATCATTAATTAATATTAAACGACATAGAAAAGCTTAAAAATCTATTTTTGAAGATTTGTTGTTTAGAAAAAAATCCTTAGAGAGCCTTCCTTTTAAAAAGAGATAAAACAATTTATGCCATCTTATTACATAAACTGGTTTTACGAATGCACTTAAATGAGATACACATACCACAATTGAATTTTTTTAAGTTTTTATACATATGAAGAAAAAAATATTAAGGGAATTTAGTCAGATATTCCACTTTTTCTGAAAACTTTTCCAAATCTACCAGTTCTCATAATTCTTCATTCCTTTCTAAGTAGATAAAGATATAACAATGATTACTCAGGTTGCTTGATATCATTTGAATTAAAGCTTCAAGATTGTTGTAAAATGAATCCAAAAACTAGAAAGACAATGTGTAATGTAATTCAACATTAGAACTTATAGTATCATAGATCAACGCAACAAAGATGAGAGTTCTAACTTATTGATTACAAACCAATATTGATCTCTAAATGTGATCGAAATTTTAAGTTCCTACAAAGCATGAAGAGATAGAGAGATATAACAATGATCACTCTTAGGTTGCTTGATATCATTTCAATCAAGTTTCACGAATGTTGTAAAATGAATCCAAAAACCACAAAAACAATTTGTAATGTAATTCAACAATAGAACTTGTAATATAGATCGACACAATAAAGATGAGAGTTCTGCTTCTTCTAACAGGTACTAAAATATGAGCCACACAAGTTTTTTATACTACTAAGAAGGCAAAAAAAACACTCCTACTAAGTAGACAAAAAAAAAGTCCACACACTTGCTTCTAGTCTTCTACTTGAGTACTTCGCTGAGATTGAGATGCGTTCATTTGCGATCCACTACTTCCACAAGCCTGAAAACACAACCATTTACCAGCAACAATATAACAATCTCACACAAATTACAGCACCAGATTAAACTAAGATATGAGCAATTTTCCACACAAAACTGAACTCAAGATGGAAAGAGACTAACCTGAAGAGCTCTCTTACCACACGATCGAGAATTGTGCCCTGCTTGACCACATTTCTTACAATGTATTGTGCGCTTGCTAAGTTTCACTTTTTTCTTAGGTGGAGACACATTCTTTCCTTTTCTCTTTCGCTTCTTCAATGGAGACTCATCACAAGTTAGCAAAACAAGAATTATCAAAATGGTATTTTCTTTGTATTAGTTTACAGTTTGAGCATTTTATATATACCTTAAGCTTCTTCTCAGAATCCGGATCATAATCTGGATCATCACACTTAGCACGTTTTCTTTTGTTATTATCAGTATTATCAGACGCAATCTTGATCATCGCTGGATCAATACACTTAGCACGTTTTCGTTTGTTATTATCAGACGTAATCTTGATCATCGCTGGATCATTACACTTAGCACGTTTTCGTTTGTTATTATCAGACGGCGCAATATGTTGCTTAGCCTCGGGAGGGATGGTTAGCTTAGTGCCAGCTGAAAGGTAGACGCTGAAACCTAGAAGAATATTCCGGTGGTTTTTCATGAGTTCCTTCACCTTTGCAATGAAACCAGCTTTATCAGCTCTACAAAGAGACACGTAATGTCAGAGTTAATTCACAATGTGTGTTTTGTTGTATAGCAGAATTGCGAGTTAAAAGTAAGAGCAAACCAAAAATAACAGGATACAAATAATTCCATACCTGTTAGCTTTAAAATCATTGAATATCTTTATCCATTCTTTTAATTTTGCAGGTTCATTAGAAAATGCCTTTCTCACAGAAGCCATGTAAGCAGGGGCATTAAGCTTACTTAGCTCCGGTGATACTCTTATGCAGACTATGGTTTGAGATTGGCCTAACCCTTTGTTAGCCTTGGTAGGGATGGTTATCTTAGCCTCGGGAAGGAAGACATTGAGACCACGAAGCAGCTTTCGGTGCCCTTTAATGAGTTCAGTCATCCTTGCAATACCACTATCTTTGTTGATTCTACAAAGAGAGTTAGTAACATCAGAATTCGTTCTCATGTGTGTTTGTTGTGTGGATTAGGAGTTGAAAATAAACCATACCGATGAGCTTTAATGTCATTCAAGACCTTGAGAAATTCTTTAAACTTTGCTGGTTCATCATGAAGTGCTTCCTTCACAGTAGTGAGGTATGAAACCGCATCATCCATAGTTGCCTTGGGTGATAAGCTTCTTCCAACCATGGTTTGAAATTGGTCAAAACCCTTTAGTATCCAAAGACAGAGAACATTTTAATCATTAAAACATCATCATCACTGAATCTCTCTAGGATCTCAATTCTCAAAGCTATTACCACTTTTTCTTTAAAAGGATTTTATAATCCTTCAAGAAACAGAACCTAGAGTGCAATATAAACATACAAATCTCCATTCCTCTCTCAAAAGATATAACTACTATTTTTCCAACACTCTGATTTTGAATCCTTGAAAAATATCATAAGCCATAATAATAAGCTAATTCTCAAAAATGCTCTTCCAAAGACAACAAAAATGATCCATCCCTGAAGCAATCAATTCAAACGGAGCAAACCAATCAAACACTGGATTGAGGTTTTTATCTCATTCTCAGCCAACTATAGAAGAAACTCAGTTCATCATTTAAGAGCTTGCTAGGGTTAAGTCTGATGGGTTTTAGTCTTAGAGATTAGTTTTACGCTTGAAAGCATGTAAAGCCTGAAACAAATTCCTAAAACGAAATTTACACAAAACAAAAAGAAATTACCGAATTTCCGAAGAAGGCTTGATGGAGAACAAGCTTCTTTTATTTAAATTTCGTCTAGCTATGGTTTTGCTTCCGATTTTTGATTTATGATTTTTCCTTTTAATTTGGATTTCGGCAATCTTTAAACTGACTAATAAGATCCTAGAATATTATACAGCTGATTTTTCGTTTTGTTTTGTTTTGTGAAACTTATCTAAACCCTAATCGAATCCAGCATTAGATTTCAAGGCCTCAATGTCACTTTCAGTGAGGTTAAGATGCTTTCCATTTGGGATCCACTACTTCTACAAAAAGAATTATCAGAACGTTATTTAATTTTAATTTATCTAGTTTTATTATATAAACTGGTTGTACGAATGTACTTAAATGATATACACATACGGACATACCACAAGTTAATTTACTCATTCGTCAGCCTTAGCATCAATGGTTCATTGACATCTTTTGCTTCACTTGTGGGTGCATTTTCATTTCCAATACTTAGCAGCCACCCATGCAGCAAAACTTCCTTGTGATTCTAGAAGTCTCATGTTTTCCTTGAGAGTGAAGACTTTGCAAGAGGTATCTACAAATATAATTTTTTATCTTATTAAATAAAATGCTAACCCTCTCATAAAAGTCTAATACCTGTCAAAATTGTAATTAACTATATTGTCACCTAAAGAAAAAAAAAAATCTTTAACCAAATAGGAAAAACTATTTTCTTTCTTAAAAAACATATTAACATATACACATATTTTGTTTGATGATATGATGATTTCTTTGTTTCACAAATAATATCATATAAAGATGTGAGGTGAAGTATATTAATAACAAATTAATATGATAAGTTATATATCAAATCTTATATGGTCATTTTGATTGGTTGTTCTTTTCTATTTTTTTTTTTTTTTGGTAGGAGGTTGTTCTTTTCTATTTTAAAGTAATAATGTATTTTCGTTTTTATAATTTAGTTAAATTACATAAATTAGTATTGACTTATTTATCTTTAATGATATGAATTAATTTACTGTATGAAATTTTATTTTTCAATTACATTCATATATTATATCTTACAAAGAGCAAGGTTATTTTCTTTAATGTATTTTCTAAATAATAGTATATGATGTCATGGTATCCTACGAATGAAATTAACGGCATAATGTACCTAAGGTGTGATTCAAAATCTAAGAGAATTGAAATATCAAATATACGAACTGGTGTAGTAATCTTGAAAATTCTAACTAATAAACTAGACCATTAAAAATATAAAGTACATAAAGTTTGAACAAGTATTGTATGGAGACTTCTTTATATATACCTCCCAAGCTTCAAAAAATAATTCTCTTCCAAAAACCTTATAATTTACATCCTTCCAAAGACCCCTTAAAATATTTTGGTGTCCTTGGATGACAACCTACATTTTTTCCATAGTTGAGTCGTCAAGGTCTCTCTACAAGTAGAATAATTAGGATTTCTAATCACCAATTTGTCATCATATGTATACCAAACAAAATCAAAAGTATAAAAACAGGGAAGAAAGAATATTGAACTTAGCATCAACAGCACTGGTGAAGAGCTCTAAGAACGCTTCATACTTCTCAGGTTCACCTTGAAAAGCTTTCTCGACTGAGTTTATGTATGCATACGGATCAACCTTGATAAGCTTTTTCCGGCTATGGTGTCTGAAAACTGGCTACAAACTTCAATAAGACGGATCATCCAATCAAACTTATGAATCTGAAAGCTCTAACCACATTATCTTTTGAACAAAACTTCAGAATCGTCCAAAAAATAGAAGCAAGTAGAGTAAATAATCTAACAGGATTAGAGATTTCAAATATGGGCCACTTAATTTGTTAAAGAGGTTTTCTGAATTACCAAATTTTAATTTTTAAACAATAATGTTGCATTACCACAAATTAATTTAACACTTTTAAAAGTCTAATATTCCTTCACAATTATACATTTCTATTATAATTATTACACACCTGACCTCTGAAACTGTTACAATTATTTGTTATGCTGAAAAATCAAACTATTTATATAAATAAAATGCTAATAAATAATGCAAGTAAATCGTTAAATCTTTAAATAACTATAATTTCTATTTGAATTTTAAAACTAATAAAACAGAAAATAAATGTGTGTACCAAAGTTTTTTTTTAAAACAAAAGAAAAATTCCAATGAATATATTACTATTATGATATCTATGCTATTATATAATTCACTAACACAACAAAAAAAATATTAATACAAGCTTTAATCAAAAACCATATGCTAAAACTTACAACTCGCACGACTGTGCAAGTCAGGATTTATATACTTTAAATTGTTGGACGATTTCACAAACACGATGCTGGAAACGCACTTTAGGGATCGATAGTTCTGAACTATCCCGGTATTTATGAATCTCGCTGTAAATCAACAATACATCGTTAAACATATCTCATAAAAGTATATCTGATAAAAAAGAAAATAAATAAGCAAGATCTCACCGAAGACAACAAGGCTAAACTACAGGTCCAACTTTTCTTTTCTTTTTGGTATCAACAAGAGGTCCATCTTTGTCCACATCTTGTATTCTTCTTCCAACCATGGATCAAAAGAATTGTCATACAACTATTAAAATATTTATACCTTCCCTCAGTTTGCGCTTGGAGAATAGACTTCTTTTTCTTACATATGAGCATCATTATCTTCATGAGAGTGAGTGTCATATCTACATTCCTTTCCTGTAAATCCAAACATGATCTTTATTTTATTTTTTGGTATTTTCTTAGTATGATCAATGTACCATTTTAGCATTTTTATACCTTAAGCATCTTTAAGAACGTTCTCGGACCTATCTTTCTCTTCGTTTTGGGAATTTCAACTCTCTTAGATTTGGGAATTTCAAAGCATATAACATCCTTTCTAAAATCATCTCAAAATTTCGAAAATATATTATTAGTTTAGTTTATCCAAAATAATATTTTTGTAATAGTATTTTGAAAGTGATGCAAACTGATATAGATTTCAATTTTAATGAGATAATGTCAAATAAATTTATTATAACATGATTATGCACTATTCTGAATGATGAACCCAAGAAAACAACTTTCAGAGACGTCCTCTCCTCTACGATAGAATTTTACATCGTGTGTGCACTATAACTAATTCTGGCTTCAATGCATAAATTAAAGAAGCGTATCTTAATTTATCAAAGCAGTTATAATATATAAAAAAATGTATGTTTGTTTTGTGTGATTAGAATGATGTATAACACCATCTTATTCGATATACAAGATATAAAACTAACGTAGCTAGACAAAATATCAAGAAATTATCAAACTAATTTACACAATTAACTTGTGACTGAGTAATTAAGCATGAACTAACTTGTTGAAGAGCTAGACACTAAAATTGAGGTCTAAATGTGATCAATATTTAAGTGCCGACAAAGCCAACTCCGGATACGAGAAAAGCAACCGCTTGCATGAAGAGATAGAGATATAACAATGTGTTCCCAAAAAAAAGTCCATAGCAAGCACAACACAAGATGTATATCCCCACCATTATCTCATTGGAGTTCACTCTGCAACGAACCAAACTCTTTAGCACACATTAGTTTAGATATATTATTTTCTTATTAGTTGATTAATTTAGTTACCTTTCAAGAAACCTGTTACTAGGTTTTCCAATCCGAGGAAATAGCTTAGTCTTAAGAGCATCTCCTAATTTCTCAGTGACAACCCATTCGTTCACTCTTTGTCTTTCGAGTATGCCGATGAAAGTTCCCTTCGTCCGGTGCATAGACATTACGTTTTCAAACAAGATCCAAAATATTACGAGGTAGAATGATCTACAAAAGTCCATAATCCATAGTAAATGATATATAATATACAATTAGGTGATATATTTATCGATCAAGATGAATTAAGCATTACTAACCTTGGTGTCGCAATGACGATGCAGAGAGTGATCATAGACGGAATGTAAAAAGTTGACCAAGCTGGAATGTTGACTTCGGGGAAGAAGACACTTGTAGGAAGAATAACGCAGTAGAACAAAAACGTGAAGCAGTGGACGATGATCTTCCGTAAAAAAAAGAAGCTGTAGACCAAATACAACTTCTTCCAAAGCGTCACTCTCTGCTCATTATTACATAGATTTGTAACTCAAGGTTAGATGTTTTCTCCTCCATCATGTTAATTATTTGCTAAAAGTCACAAATGAAAATAATCAATCTTTAATTCGACTTGGTATAACTAAGCCGAACCAATAGCACTAGATTGAACCAAACCGGTCTTCTACCCCATCAGATTACCAAATCAAGTGCAGCTTCAAATTTGTATTTTTTTTTGTGTCTTCTTGAAGCATAAAAGAAACAACAAAACAAAAGAGAAAACCAATCCCCGTCGAAGTGAACGAACAATCAAAACAAAAAAAGTGTACGTCAGCCTCACATCACATGGCCTGTTTGTCTCTCCATATTAACACGATGAACAAAAAAACAAAGTAGTTGGACGTGAGACAAAACAAAATGTGGGCACGTTTTTCGTCAAGATGAAATAAGTAAATTGAGAAACGGACCTTATTGCGAATAATCTCCATAATCATTTTCCTGAAGAGATTAGCTGGACCACAAGACCATCGATGTTGCTGGAATCTAAAGGCCTTAAATTTGCTTGGTAATTCGCTTTTCACCTACAAACTCAGTGTTCATATACATAATGTATAATGATTATAATAATTATTTTATTGAAAATAGCAATGCATCACTTTATAGTATATATAGATATCATTGGACATCAAGACGGAAGTGTCACTAGTCAGAAACTAGGTCCAGAACCAAATTCAATAAAATCTACCACAAAAACTATAGTTCAAAATGGGAGTGTCTATGTAACTTTATAAAGCACTAGTAAATGTTGGATACATAATTTATAAAAGATGCGATGAGTGTTTTTAATTTATGTAGGGCTTATTTTATAATAATTTATAGGTAGTGATCAAATCAAGTACCGTGAGGTCATTGAGAAAGACAAATTTCCAGCCGAGAAGACCAGCACGAACGGCCAAGTCCATGTCCTCTACAGTGGTCCGGTCATGCCATCCTCCAGCTTCTTCCATTGCGGCCATTCTCCATACACCCGCAGTTCCTGATATTAGAGATATACCAAAACCATATTTATGAAATAAAATTAAAGAGTATCCTAAAATATATTAAAACATGTAATGATAAGCAAATGCACCATTGAAGCTAAAGAAGGCATGTCTAGTGGATCCAGATTCTTGCTCTGCCATGAAGTGGTAGTTGAGGGACATCTCTTGCATCCTCGTCATCAAGCACTTGTTTGCGTTCACTGCGATGAACCCCACACACACATACAATCACTCGGTTTGAAAATAGACTTTGTTAAGAATCGTAATTATGCCTAAAAATGTAAGGGACCAATGTACATAACACCAACAAGATTTTGTGTTAAAAATTTACAAATATTGATAGTCTTATAATAGTTAATAGTTGTTAATTTTTAGATATGTCAAATTGTCTACCATAATCTACGTACTGAATCTCCAACGGGCTTGAACAAGAGCGACCTCGGGGTTATGGACGAGGAATGGGACAGAGCGTTGGAGGTAATCAGGCTCCGGTTGAAAGTCTGCGTCGAAGATGACAACATAGTTGCATAGCTTCACGTAATTGTGCTTCATGCCTTGTTTAAGAGCTCCGGCTTTATAGCCATTTCTGTTGTCTCTCCTCTCACACTTTATTTTTACGCCTTTGCTTTCCCATTTTGCACACTCTGTGTTCACCAGCCCCTGAAATTCAATCCTCTTCACATTAATTATCGTACAATTAATACATATATATGTCCAAAATAAATCAACAAACTTGGTCGGCAAGACCTTGATGGTTTGATCAGTGGAATCATCTAAAACTTGAACAATTAGGCGATCCAATGGCCATATTAGTCTACATGCAGCACCTATAGATAATTGAAGGACCTGCGAGTTAAGAACATGTTAGGAATTTCACATCTATAAATGTACAAATATAATGTGGTTTATTAAGACACATTAATAGTTATATTTATATATTGTCAATTAGTTTTTAGATAAACTTTATGATTCGGTCCATACTATAGTTTATAGAATATATGTAGATGTACCTCTTTTTCGTTGTACATTGGAATTTGAACAAGGACCATGGGGTAGGTTTCATGTCCGAGCTCAATGTCCTCCGGCATCGGCTCCCATTTGTAGATTTTTTCCGGTTTTCGCTTAAACAACTTGACATAGAGTACTACAAGGTTCATGTATATACCCTCTATGAAAACTAAGAGGGAGATCATCAAACAAAGAGCCACCAAACACTTGAATAAGGGAACTATAAGGAAGCTTCTCAATTCTCCTGTCCATGTCGTGTCGATGCTTATCCTCACACCATTAACGGATGCTTCAAGCTTCTTGAGAGCTTCAGCTGCATCTTCAGAACTCCCTCCATGGAACTTCTCATGCATATATAGATAAACAAATTTAGAAACTATCCGAAAAAAGCAGAGAAACAGAGCGAGTGTTAAAGAAAGATATGATGATCTTAGTTACCATTAGAGATATGAAGGCAAGACATGAATCTTGTAAGGAGATGAGTGACTTCAGAAACGTAGTCATTTTCTCTGTCTCTAGTTTAAGCTCATCAGTGACTTACTTCAAGAGAGATTCTAATTCAATGGTGCATTTGCATCTTTAAGCTAGCACTCTTTTAATTTATTTGTTTTTATTGTTTTTTTAGTTGAGACATTTTGTTGGTTTTCTTTAGTTTGGTTGGTTCTCGACTTGTCGTTAATAGTGTAGTGTACGTTGCTGATTATTTGGAGAAGATGCTGATGACTCACGAGCAGTATATCACAACTTTAAACCACACAAAAGAAAAAAGAACAAAAAAAGTGTTTTCAATTCTGAATCATTATCGAAAAACAACAAAAAAGTTTTTTAACTCCTCTCACTATTTTTTGTATCCGTAATTATCACGTGATGAATTTTGCAATTGTACTGGTTTTTGTCAACGTCGAACAATGATAGCAACAAGCCAACAATGACCATGGATTTGAGTTACTACTACTAACGTACGTGTATCATGGATTTGCATTTTTATTGGGTCATATTTAGGTCCATAAAGCCCATTTGATCATTGTAAACAAAATTAGATTAAAAAAACAAAACACAAGAAATGGCTTCGCCCGGGTTCGAACCGGAGACCTTCAGTGTGTTAGACTGACGTGATAACCAACTACACCACGAAACCTTGTTTGAACATATGTAACATTACAAACTACTTAATCTAATTCTGTGATTGTCAGTACTTGGAATGACCTTAATTTTGAGGATTGGGACCAAAAGGTCCAAAACCCAGCTTAAACCCACCGAGTGAGTTCGTCTTCCTTCTTCACCGGAAAGTGCCCACTCACAGTTTCGCATTTAGTAGCGACCAATCAATCAAGAGATTCACGTCTCTGTGCTTGGTAAGATGTTAATTTGACTCTACTCGAATCAGTTTTCTACTCAATCTCTGGTTTGTTTCTCCGGAAATTCTCGTGGAGAAATTTCTCTTAACCGCTTCAATTATAGATACCCAGATTAAGAATTCTCGAAAATTGCTGATCTTAAGTTTTGTAATCTTACATATGTTCTTGTATCTCTGAAGCTTATCTAGAGTTCTGTGTTTTTTTTTTTTTTTTAAATCAGAGTGTGTGGTGACTTACATTGTAATGAACTGTCTGTCTCATGCGCGTTCATATATTTCCTTGGGACTGCTTAAGAGATCAAGCTATGTCAGTTCTACTCACATTCCGTGGAATCAATGTTTCTTCTATATGCCTTCAAAATCATGTTTAAAGCCTGGAGGTGTGAGTAGTGTGTTTGGAATGTCTAGTGTTCATTCTTATTCCTCAAGATCAAAGTCTGGTAAATCAAAGATGTCATCTACCGTTGTTTCTGTTGCGGATAAAGAGAAATATGCGTTTTTCGTTGTTCGGAAAGGTGATGTTATTGGAATTTATAAGGATTTGAGTGATTGTCAGGCTCAAGTTGGATCTTCGGTAATTATATTTTGACTTAGAATCTGTTGTGTGTATATATACTTTCTTTATGATGGGAATATAACAGCTTTCTTGATAATGGTAGGTGTTTGATCTTCCGGTTAGCGTTTATAAGGGATACTCTTTGCCGAAAGACACTGAGGAATATCTTTCTGCTGTTGGGCTGAAGAAACCACTATATAGTTTAAGAGCTTCTGACTTGAAAGACGATATGTTTGGCGCTCTTACACCATGTCTTTTCCAGGTATGATACTATTGTGGTATTTGTTGGATTTATCTTCCTTCTTATGATGTTTTCTTGGAGAATGTCTGCAACTGCATGATTTGTGATGTGGGATTTTGAACTGAAATAGTAACTGTCTGTCTTTAAATTTCTTTACTAGGAGCCAGCTTCTTGTACAGTCAAAGTATCTGAAGAGGAGGCTACCTCAGAGACGAAGTCAAAAGATAACCAAAAGGTAAGCTATAAGAACAAGTTTGTTTGGAGTCTTATTGATTAGCTTGAAGAAATAGCTGAATTTAATGATTATGAGACAAAGTGATTAAGCTCGTTGCTTAAGTATTCATTTTTCGCAGGATCAACTTCCTTCAGCTTCCATGTCTTATGATCCTTTGGAAAAGCTTGCCAAGCTGGAGCAATCTGCTGATACATCAGACGTGAGTTGTGACTATGTTTATATTTACCGTTACTCAATAGTTTCAAAGGACTGGATGCAGAATTTTGTGCTCAAGTTGGTCTGTTTCTCTATCTCCTCATGTGTTAGGAAACTTGCTTTATTGAATTTGACGGTGCATCAAAGGGAAATCCAGGTCTCTCCGGCGCAGCAGCGGTACTGAAAACTGAGGACGGAAGTTTGGTATGTATCCTTTTGAATCACTGTTACTAATTAAAAAAATGCAATGTTCTATCTAAATATCAGTTTTCTCTGAAAACAGATTTGTAGACTGCGTCAAGGTTTGGGAATTGCCACAAACAATGCAGCAGAATACCACGCGCTAATCCTAGGATTGAAGTATGCAATTGAGAAAGGTTACAAGAAAATTAAAGTGAAAGGTGACTCCAAGCTAGTCTGTATGCAGGTTTGTCAATCAAAACGTTATATAATTTTGTGCAACTAGGTAATTTAATGAATCATATGTATGCTTTTTCTCTTCTCACTTTCTTAACACTTTCTGAGAAACAACAGATTAAAGGTCAATGGAAGGTAAACCACGAGGTACTCGCGAAACTCCACAAGGAAGCAAAACAACTTTGCAACAAATGTGTCTCTTTTGAGATCAGTCATGTACTAAGGGTATGTCTCTCTGTGTAAATGAATGATATTGCATATTTCTTATGCTTGTGAGCAAGATTGCTACACGGTCTTTTCCTAATGCAAGTTTCTGCCACTATTGGCATTTTTCTTTATAGAATTTAAACGCTGATGCGGATGAACAGGCAAACTTGGCTGTCCGTCTTCCCGGTTAGACAACCTAGTCTCCCCTTCTCTCTGCATTTTATTATATCGGATCAAAATAATACAGAAAACTAACCAACTCTGTTGCTGCATTTACAGAAGGAGAAGTTGAGGTGGCGTGAAGGCTGATTATCGGTCAACGAATAGAAAGATTCGGGTTTGTTGTTCCACACCACATACAGATCTAAATAGGCTGAAGAAAAGTATTCATTGTTCGTTAGAAAAGAAAACATCTTGGGTTAAAATCTCTGCTTTCTTGCAGTGTTACACTAGCCACTAGAAACTGGTGAAGAACCAGAATGAGCACAGAGAATTCTCAGACACTGAATGCAAACAAATCAGAGAACAGCAGAAACTGACTCATCATTTGTCTTCTCTTTACTTCAGTTGATGATTTTTTGCCGGCGTTCTAACGTTTTCTTTTGCTTGCTTACACTAGAACACTTGTATTGAAAAATTCTTTTGTACCAATAGAAATTAAATAACACGCGCTTCCGTCGCGCGTGAAATTTGATATGGAAACGTTCGTGGGCTTTGATTGCCATTAAGTAGGCCCAATAGATGATAATACGAGCCCATTGTTATTTGCATTGAACCTTTCGCCGGACTTGGAGCTCAAGCAAAGTACAGTTCTTCGTTGAAAATCTCTATAACTGTTTTCTTTACCCAGAAAAAAAAAAGCAATTGTTACTTTTTTTTTGAACATAATGCGAAGAAGATTTCTAGAATGTTGACGAAAGCTCTTCTGATTTTGAAACCCAGGTTAATTCTGGGAAGTTCGCTGCATCGTCGATCGGTTTGTTTCTCAGCTCCGTTGCCTGCGTTGTCTTCCGGAGCTATTTCCCGTACGACGGCGGAAATTGACGCTGATGAAGCTGTTGCGTACTTGGACCCAGCTGAATCGTCGACTGCGATTCCGGTGATTATGCCTGGTAACCTTCAGCCACGTGTCGTCGTGTACGACGGAGTCTGTCATCTTTGCCATGGAGGTACAATGCTTTTCTGTTTCTCTCTTTAGCGTAGAACAAATCCGTTTTCTCAATGATCGTTTAGTCGTTTATTGGTCGATTCCGTCTATTGATCTGGTCTATGTATGATGAAATGATTTGGTTCTAGTTGATTTTTAGTCTTGTTCTGCGAAAATGGGGAAAAAAACGAGCCTGGGGTTTTTGGTTGTTTGCGATTCAATTGGAGTGATTGTTATATCGAGTTCTGGAAGAAGAAGACTATGCATTTTTCGTATTTCCATTGTTGTCACATTGATTTGACTTGAAGTCTTGAACCAGAGATTGTGGAAGAAAAGTTGAAACATGTTGAAGAGAAAATGTGGGAATTGCTTTTTGTAGTTGACATTTGTTGGATTTTTTGTGCTAGAGAATTTGAGCTCTCTAAGAGGGATTGTGTTCTAGATTGAATTGTTGTTAATTTGTAGCTGAGTAATTGTGTTCAATGTAGGTGTGAAGTGGATAATCAAAGCTGATAAGTATAGAAAGATAAAATTCTGTTGCCTTCAGTCTAAAGCAGCTGAGCCTTATCTAGAAGTGAGTGGTGTCACTAAAGAGGATGTTCAGAAACGATTTCTCTTCGTTGAAGGTCTCGGATTTTACCATCAGGCATCAACCGGTATGTACATCTTCTTTTCACACAAATGCTTTTAAGTTTCATAGTTAAGAGTTTGGTGAGAGTTAAGCTGAAAATATCTGCACTGTGAAGTAGGTCATTTAAGTTACCGAGAGATGAACTCCGCCTAGTTTAAGTATGCCCGACTGGTTAGTTATGGAAGATGGATTCCATATGATATCAGTTTTAAGCTATAGTCAGTCTTACTAAGTATTTTATTTCATGATTAACATGTTATTATACCTTCTAATTCTGCATTTTTTTTACTCTGCAGCTGCACTTCGAGTGGTATCATACTTGCCTCTGCCGTATTCCGCATTGAACGCTTTCTCCATCGTTCCCACTCCTTTTAGAGACTCAGTGTATGACTATGTGGCGAAGCATCGGTATGACTGGTTTGGTAAAGCTGAGGATTGCTTGGTTCTGAAAGACAAAGAGCTGTTGGAGAGGTTTATAGACCGAGATGAACTCAATGATCGAAGCTAATGACTACCCTTTGAACGATTGGAGTTGAATATAGATTATAAGGGAATATAACTAGAGGAAATTGTCCAAGTATCAAAGCTAACAACAACTGGAGTTTGTGTTAGGTTTCTGAAAAGTAATCACAGAGGACTAACAACCTTCCAAAGCTAATTCAGCGCTATCTCCATTGCTAGTTCTATTCATGACTTCCGAGTTCGGACAAATTAGTAGTTAATGCTTGAAAGCTTTTGGCATGAGAAATTAATTCGAAATTGATGATTTCTGAAAGATGTTTAGAATTTTGCTAGCTATTCAATCAAACCGAGGTGATCTGGAAAATATAATTGATGAGTCAATTTTATTTTTCAATTGAGGATTCAACTATCTTGCTCTTCGTTGGAAGTAAATGTAATTTTCACGTAGAACCCATTACAAGTGAATCAAGTTATGATATCTCTCATTTTCGAGAGACAAAAAATTTCAGACTAGTAAAATGTTGGGTCTACCCGAAGGCAGATCCCTCCAAAAATAGGCGTATGCCACTTAGCGTGGAAAGCACACGGTATTCTTTAGTAAAAGGCGAAAGAATAGTTCGCTTTGTGCTCACCACATGGCTGCGTGATTTTTTCACAAAGAGAGTGAAGTCTATTTATACTGGAGTCTTCTCTATCGAAATCTTTCAGTCTTCCGATGTGGGATTTTCGAAGTTCCTTCTTTAAAGGCTTTTTATGGTTTCGGCCCCTTTTGGAGATTAAAGGCCCAACATTTACTTGTTTGAATTCAACCTTTGCTCGTTAACTTTAAAGACAACAAACACAATTGGTTTATTGAATCACAATCATCTGGTACAATGCTCTTATACAACAACAAACACATACATTTCGTGTTATACAAAGTTAAATCAATTTTTCTTCCCTAAACTCTCTATAAACTCGTTAATACTCCGATCAGAGCTTCCTCCTTCACTCATTGCCTTCACAGCCAAATCTTTCCACTTCTTCGAACTTTCTCTAATCTTCACACTACTCTCTCCTTCCATCACTCCTTTCAAACACCTCACCAATTCTTCGCTCTTCACAATTACTTCACCAGCTTCCTCTTTCGCTCTATAACCAACTTTCCAAACTTCCTCCACAAACTTTGCATCATTCATCTGATCACTCCACTGAGGCACACCAACCATCGGCACGCCCAAACTCAACCCTTCCAATGTCGAGTTCCAACCACAATGAGTCAAAAAGCAACCGATCGATTCATGAGCTAAAACCTCAAGCTGGTTACACCAAGAAACCAACAACGCTCTGTCTTTAGTCGATTCCACAAACCCTTCTGGCAATTTCGCTATATGAGCTTCTTTAATCACCCACAAGAAGTTCAAATCCGATTCTTGTAGCGCAATCGCTACCTCAGCAAGTTGCTTCTCAAAGAGTATCCCAAACGAACCAAACGAAACAAATGCTACCGACCGAGCCGGCTTAGTCCCAAGCCACTCCATACATTCCTTCGATATCGGTTTCAGTAGACTCGCTCCGTAGTCTTTATCGTCTTTTATCCTATCATCAAGGTAAGCCGATGGAATCATCGGTCCGATCAACGTTGCCCTCATTGCCTCAGACTCACCATTTTCACAATCCTAACCAAAACACAATCCAATCAATTCCAATTTCAACTAAACAATATCACATAAATCTTATGATATTGAAACTCTTACTTGTGTTTCTTCTAAACCTTCAAAGCCATTAACGAATAACCAATCAGCTTTTTCATGATTAGGAAACTGATTCAAAAGAACTCTCCCATGCTCCGGATGAGTCAACCAATGACGTCCAACAAACGAAGGTAACTCATCGTAGCTCAACGACGGCAAGCCACGGACTCGAAACCGCGCCGAATTAGGATCAGCGGGAAGAGGAAACTCACCGTTAGAGAATTTACGCAACACAGAACAAACAGTGAGATTGTTAGTGAAGAAAGAAGCAGCTGAAACATCCATAGATCTAGCAACTTCAAGTCCCCAAGGAAGGAACGAATCGTAGACTAAACAATCGATTGGTGAACCAGTGGATTTGAATTTCTCGATTAGGAGAGTTAGGGTTTCGGATCCGTGGAGCTTGAAGGATTCTGAGTAAGTATCGACGCTGAAACCGGGGATACCTATGGGGATGAAATCGAATCCGTCGGAGATTGGTTCGACGGAGACTGATGGAGTTGTGATTGAGGAAGCGGTGTAGGTAGTGGTGGCGATTGTGACTTTGACGTTTTTGGAGACTAGACGTTTAGCGAATTGAACCATTGGGTTTAGGTGGCCTTGAACTGGGTAAGGTAAGATTACGATGTGGCCTTTGAGTTTGGGAGTTGTTTCCGCCATTGTTGTAGCTCAAAGAAGCAGAGCTTTGGTTTCTGTTTTTTTTTTCTATTGAAGATGACAAAGTGTTGAAGACATTTGTTATTTGATTTTGGTTTATATATAGTTCAATTAAATTTCGCGTTATTCACGTTTTGCGTTGGTGGCACCAACCTAACTTATGTAGTTGGATATTATTTTTTTCTTTTAAACTTATGTCAAATGAAAAAAATGTAATTAAAATAACAGATCAAAATAATGATATATAAATTACTAAATAACAATGAACTATAGTATAACATGTTGGTTTAAGCTTGAATAAGACTTAACCGGAGGCTTAATCGGAAGCTTTCTTTAACCACAAAGCATTGGTTTATTAATGAGATAAATATCTTTAGGAGTAAATCTAAAGAGATATCTTTTGTATATCCTAATTGAGTTGTGATTAGGTTTAGGTGCGTGTCTATATAAAGTCATATTGAGAGGTGATATGTCTTGTAAGTTTTGAGAGAACATTGTAGGGTTTTGGTTTTGGGGAATTTTCAAAAGCTAATAAGAGAGCAATTCTTAAACATAGTGTTCTTGAGATTCTTAAGGATTCTAGATAACAGAACGAATAATTTACTATTGAATTTTTGTGAAATAATTGTAACAAATTTATAGGACTTTCGCTTATAGTTTTATGTCGAAATAATTGTGGTTTGTAGTATATGAAAGAGTGGAAAGTCATACCTCTTCGACGTAAGTAAATAGTGAGTCTATCTATTCTAGTGTGTGGCAAATGGAATAAGCAAGAAAATTTACATTATGAGATTTTTGTTAGGAGCCACATTGTTGACTATTTTCTCCATAGTTTTTCTAATAATTGAGGGGAATAAGAAAGGGTTTTACAATCTGGCAAAATTTTCTTTTCTGTTTCTCCTTAAAACTCTCTCTTCCGTAGATTAATCTAAACAAAACACCTCCGTTTTAGAATTAACAACGACACAAACAGCTAAAAAAGAACACACACGCCCACAACGAGAAGAGAAGAAAAAAAGATTGAAAATCTACCAATAAAATTTTGAAATCAGGAGAAATATTATTAAAAATTTTCCTCTTTTTCAATGAAATCTTTTGGTTTATGTCTGTTTATTCTCCTATCTTCTCCATATATCCTTCAAGCCAATCTCTCGTCTGATTATTACACCAAAACATGTCCTGAATTCGAGCAAACACTCGTCCAAATCGTCACCGATAAACAAATCGCAGCTCCAACAACAGCCGCAGGAACACTCCGTCTCTTTTTCCACGATTGCATGGTCGATGGCTGTGACGCCTCAATCCTCGTTGCTTCTACTCCACGTAAAACCTCTGAACGTGACGCAGATATCAACCATTCTCTACCTGGAGACGCATTCGACGTAATCACACGTATCAAAACCGCCGTAGAACTCAAATGTCCCAACGTCGTTTCTTGCTCTGACATTCTCGTTGGTGCAACACGTAGCTTGGTCACAATGGTCGGAGGTCCGAGAATTAACGTTAAGTTCGGTCGGAAAGATAGTCTTGTCTCTGATATGAACCGTGTTGAAGGAAAGCTAGCTCGACCTAACATGACTATGGATCATATCATTTCGATTTTTGAATCTAGTGGTCTGACAGTTCAAGAAATGGTTGCTCTTGTTGGTGCTCACACGATTGGTTTCTCTCATTGCAAAGAGTTTGCGAGTCGGATCTTTAACAAGTCCGATCAAAACGGTCCGGTGGAGATGAATCCGAAATACGCTGCGGAGCTGAGGAAGCTGTGTGCGAATTACACCAAGGACGAAGAGATGTCTGCGTTTAATGATGTTTTTACCCCTGGAAAATTTGACAACATGTACTACAAGAATTTGAAGCATGGTTACGGGTTGCTCCAGTCGGATCACGCGATTGCGTTTGATAACAGGACGCGGTCGCTGGTGGATCTTTACGCAGAGAACGAAACGGCGTTCTTTGACGCGTTTGCCAAGGCCATGGAGAAAGTTAGTGAGAAGAATGTGAAGACGGGGAAGCTTGGAGAAGTAAGAAGACGGTGTGATCAATACAATGACTACAAGGGGTAAATTAGAAAGTTACCTCTTTTAACACATTCAAAAAAGAAGAAAAGTTTCATATTATTTTGGACCAAGTGGTCTTGTGATTGAGTTGCTAACATTTATCAAAATTGAAAATGTATCAATCATGATTCATATGCCTTGGGTGGAAAAAAATTTCTCTCCTGGAACTTTTTCTGCCATGAAAATCTGTTTTCTAAATTTTGTATGTGAATTTGATATCACAAAATTTCCATACTTGTGATCCATTTGTCATATGTGGTATTGGGTTCAAATATGTTAAATAGAACTTTCACTGATAACAATGATCAAAATAAAATTGTTGACTAATACTAATAATAAGTTGAAGGAGAAAAATAGCAAAAGATTTACAGATACACCGATCCCTAAGGCAAGGGAGAAAAATAATGGATAAGAATTTGATTTTTTTATAAAAGAGATAAAAGAACTAACAAGGTTTTTTCTTGTCCAATTTCAAATGTAAATTGAACCATTTGCTCTTCTTCTTTAGTGCCTCGGATCTATCACAAGTACTTGGTTTCTTGTTCTTCTGTCTGCTGCTTTCTTCTTCTTCATGTTCCTCTTCCTCTTCATCTTCTTCTTGTTCAGTTGGAGCAGGCGCCTTAGCCGCTGCCTTCTTGAATGAGCTCTTTCTCAGCCTGTTCTTGCTCGAGCTCCGCTTCATCAATGGAATTGTTGTGTAGGCTGAGTGAATTTCATTTCTCTGCTTTAAGAGCTCATCGATCTGTAAAAAGACCATAAGATAATCAAACTAAGCTAACCATTTCAGAAACTTACACATAGAATCTGGTCTAATTTACTCAGTCATGACACATCTTCTCTTCTTTTTCTGTGAATAGTGGTTTGAAATTCCATATTTTTCGTGAATAAAAGACTAACCGATTGCATTTCCTGAGCGTATCGACTGGTCATATCGGTGAACTGCGCAAGTACTTCCCTGTACTCTGTCTCAAACTTTGCCAGCTCTGCTCTTTTAGTGAGGATCTGAGCTTCTACAGATCTAAGTTCTTCTTTTTCTTGCGTAAAAGCAGCAGCACAAAGGACTTGGATTGTGTAGCTCACGCTTTTAAAAAAGTTATCACCTGAACAAAGGAAAATGTCATTAAATGATCACCAAGTTGAGTCGAGTACTGACTTCAGACAGATATAAAAGGGAGAAGAGAAATGAATTTGTAATCAGGTTACAAGCCAGGAAAACTGACCATAGACAGCAAAGACATGAGTACCAGCCTTTAGCTCGGTAACTTCACATTGCTGAAATCCATCAAGCTTTTTAAAGAAGGCAGTTTCTGGATCCTTTGCTTGAGCCATCTAGAGCAATCAAAATGAAGTCATGTTGGGAAAAAAAGCGTGAGAAGCAAAAGAAACCCAGCCAGCAGAAGGAGGTGAAGTATATTGAGAACATAGTGAAGTGAACCTACTGAATTAACTGTGTGATCCAACCGGTAGACAGGGAAACCGAGAAAGTACATTCCGGCAGATGTTATCTTACCGGTTCTTTTGCTGTCTTCCTGTTTCCACGTGGGATTCAGTGTACAAGGAAAACAACCATTTCAATTACTTAATTTATTAAATGTGATAGATGAAAATCCTTTGAAAACACTGTTTTCACTTCAATTAATAACAACAATACCTGCAGGGCTAGACTTAATCCGCTGTTGGCCTCTTGATCAAAATACAGTAACTGCACAAGCAGACACACACGTTAGTTCATCAATAATTTGGTACTTCCATATTAGTTTAAAAGGAAAGACTACGTCGAACCAACCTTGAATTTGCTTTTGCTAGATGATTCTACTCTGCAGACCAACCCAGCACTTACTTCCTCTTCTGATATTGTGACAGCATAAAAGTGTGCACATTGCTTTTCAACCTGTAAGAACAATGGCACATATGAGACTTATATAGAGATAGACACTCATTACACACAGATGAGATCATAACTAGGCATTGGCTAAAAAAGCACACCTTTTTAGACACAGCTTGTCCAATTACAAGAGGATCAACTGAAACTCTGCCATTAAGAGCCTCCTCCAAAATAGTTGCAGATACAGATGTTTTTATCGGCACACCAAGTTTGCTAATTCATCAGAAGTTTCAGAACAAATACTCAGCTTCACATAAAAGGGGACTTAGAAAATGAACAGAAGTCCATTTCAAAAGAAACAAACCTAAACAAAGCTGCAAACACAGTATTCACAGCTCCCAAACTTGAGAGATCTAGCTCCAGCTCTTGGCTTTCTGCTTCAACAGCCTGTGAAAGAGAGCTCATTGCAATTAACAGTCTTAAAGTTGATGCTAGCATAGCATTAGCTGCTAAAAGAATTTCGAAGCACATCAAGAACATCCCTAGAGAATAGCAGTATTTGAAGCACATCAAGAACAATACCAAAGTGCAAAACAAATCTCACCTCAAAACCTGCTGAATCATACTGGCGGCGTTTCTCTGGATCAGACAAGATGTTGTAGGAAAACGTAACCTCCTTAAACATGTCAGCCGCAACCGGATCGTTTGCAGTCTTATCAGGATGGTACCTAAAACACCAACCATCAATTTGGAACAACGCTTAAACACATAGATAGCAAGACGAGGACTAAATGCTTGTGCATCGAAATTGTAATTAGCCTTAGACCAAACCATCACACTCCCTTCTGATATAATCCGGATTAAGGCTTAGCTGAGTAAATCACAGATTAACAATTAGCTATTAACTAATTCCTAGACTTATCGGTAAATTCATTTCAAGAGTCTTCTTCTCTGTAACCTAACAAGGTTCTTCTTCATAGCCTAACCCTAAATTAACACAGCGTTTTCAATAGCAAATTCAAAGAAAGTTCAAACAAGGAGAGACATTAGAAATAAACTTACTTGAGAGCTAATTTCCGATAAGCGCTCTTAATTTCCTGATCCGTAGAGTTTCTTAAAACACCTAAAACCTCATAAGAATCCCGACGGAGCTGCTTATCAGCATCCTTCTTCTCCGACTTGGATCTATGACCTGGCATTTTCTCTTCACACCAAAAAACAAAAATCCTCACCACAAAACCCTAAGAATCAATCCACACTTCAACAAAATAGAATCTCCAGCGAGGTCTCGATTATTCCTTCATTTCTACAATTCTCTCCCCGGAAAACTCAAATTGACGGCGGAAGAGAGCTACGAGACGGTTCCTCTTTCTCTCTATCTATCTACGATTCTTGAGAGAGAGATAAGACTGAACTGTCAAAGGAGAAATCGGAGGAGGAAGGTGAGAGAGAGAGAGAAGAAGAAGAAATTTAAAACTGTGGATATTTCACACTACAGTGCGCTGGTTCGGCGCGTGATCTCGGCGCGTGGGATTATTAGATTTTGAGGTCCGCAGGTTGTTTCTTGTTTTGGCATCTTTATTTTGGGGAGGCGCGTAGTGTTCACGCGAAGCAAGATAGTAGGTTTCCAGATAAAATAATTTAATTAACAATAATAATAATCCAACTCATATGAGTTATTTATGACCTTTTTTTTTATCATTTCTCTAATGTGAATGCCTCTATTTGGATTGGTTTATTTATAACTTACAATATGATTTTCAACAATATCTAGTAACCAACTTATATGAGTGGTTCAAGTTTAAACATAACAAAAAAATATATACGTTTCTGAATACACTAGACAGCTAATATTTTTTCTAAATGAATGGATAATGGGATTTTAAAAAACATAATTAACCTTATATATAAGGATATTACTATATAGGTAGGGTTGAATAGTAACAGTGTTGTTGACTATAATAATAAAATTAATTACTCTCTTTTTTGGGCAAATTTTAATTACTCTTATAAGTATAATAATAACAGTATATTGATTTGATGCTTGGATGTTATCGAATTTAATTAGCCATTAACGTCAAATTGTTAAGTTTTTGTTTTTATTTTTCTGTCCTATATTCACAAAAAGGATGTTGCATCAGTGTACAACTTTCCCGGAATATTTGGTAAAGTAATCATAAAAAATGGTCCACATGAGATTATTAATTGAATATTAAAGAAAATGAAAACACAACGACGAGGACACTTCAACACAATCAGAGGCTCATTATCATGTTGGGTTATATAATAGACTAGTGTTCTTGCCAAATCTTTTGTTGGGTTATATAATAGACTAGTGTTCTTGCCAAATCTTTTGTTGGGCTTTATCGAGGATCATTTTTTAAACTAAGATTAGTTTGTAACAAATATTTGTTTATAACAATGTCTAAGAAATACTTTACCCTCTTTGATTATTTTAGATAGAAAAAAACATTGGAGGACGAGATATTTGTAGTTTTCAAAATATTACTTTCACTTCACGAGATCGAGACGCATTACATTATAATTAAAATTAATATCACCAGATTCCTACTACGAAAATGATTGGAACTGGACCCCCTTACGGTCACAACAAAACGTCATATGCTTGGGAATTGTTGACTTGTTGATGGGTTTGTATCATCGTACTAAAAATCTATATATTATTCATGGGTCTCTAGTTATTGGGCCTTTCAATTAGAAGCCCAATAACTGAATCCTAACAGAACGTTAAACCTCCAAACGCATTTTATCAAGCAATAAGAAGGGACATATTGCTCTGCACACAAAGATTGTATACTGTGGAAGTTTTTCTCTCCCCATACTTCACGTGTATGATGCGATATATATTTCTCATTATTATAACATATAAATCCAGTCATAGTGGAAGACAAAACTACGTGATTCGCTATTGTAAAAGTTCCACAAATTCTTTTATCAATGTTGGGTCATCTCTCACACACAAATTCCCGATTAATAACTTCAACCAAACACAAATCACAAAACCACCAGACCACATGGATGATCAACTTCCACGTTGTAGAATAAGTTTTATAATTCTCTGTCATCATTTTTTATTTACTTGTAACTCTATATTTAAGAAATATGAAACTATATATTAAAACAGTGTGTACACAAAAGTTCGTGTGAATCCGTGAAACAGGTCCGGCCGTCTATAAGGCAGCTAAAATCTTATGTTTTAGGTCACAAATTATAAATTTCAAAAATGAGGTCACATTTTTGAAAAGTTCTAATAGTCCAGTGGCAAAACCTTTGTATGAATTGTTAATTTTCTCTCAGTTTTGAGTTTCAATGAGTGATGTTTTTAAAATTTTAAAATTTTTTTTTTTCACAGCCAAATATGCTTTAGGCCACATAAATTGTAAAACCGGCCCTGCGTGAAGGTCATTGTTAATAACATAGCCAATGATGATCAAACTGAGAAATCTCATATATTTATATTTGGATTTGAATTATATGAATGGTCTCCAAAGGAGAACAAACTTATAAATTGTAATATTATTATATTAAAGTGTACTCCGATAACCGAGTGTTATAGGTTTATGACTAAAACCTAGCTAGGTAGCTCCATTATGATATAACACACTCATAAGTATATAGACTAATTAAGAGAGATTAATCATAGTCACGTTATAGACTGTAAAATAAGTAGTTAAATAGATGAGACCCTTAAGTTCCAAACTTTAGCAGAAAGATCAAGACTCCCACTATAAACCATACAAGAAAAATCAGAATTAGAATCGGAATCAGAAACTGAGACGGCTAAACACTTAACAGGCTTGGTATGTCCTTCCAAAACTGCCAAACAAGAATAACCCTCTTTCTCCATTAATCCTCTCCTCCAAACCCTCAAGCTCTTATCCGCTGATCCACTCAACACCAAATCAGACGCAACCGCTAAACACATAATCGCCTTCGTGTGTCCCCTTAAAGCTCCCACTACAGACATATGTAATTCCTCCTCATCTCCATTGCTCAATCTCTCCCACACAAGAATCGATCTATCACACGCTCCTGAGTAAAGAACCTTCCCGTCTTCACTAATCGCCAACGCGTTCACTGCCGAGAGATGTTTAGTCAGTGTAGCAACCAATGAGTGTTTCTTGTCCTTCTTGTCCCACACTTTGATCTTCTTATCTGCCGAACCTGTGTAAACAAAACCGTCTTTGGACACCACGATGGCATTAATCGCGTCGTCGTGAGCCTTTTCGATAGAGTCCAAGCACTTGAAATCGGACGTTCTCCATATCTTGAAACTCCGGTCCCATGAAGCAGAGTAAAGCAGAGAACCGTCTTGTGACAAGGCTAGTGATGACACGGCGTCCACATGGTGAACCCACGTGCACTTCTTGTGCCGTCGGACTTCCACGTAGCTTTTGCTACTAAAGAGGTTCTTGAAACGGTCGTTCATCGTCGGAAGAGTAGCTACGCACTTGTACTTCTGACCTCTGCGACTGCTCTCGTCGATGATCTTCCATACACGAATCTTGTGATCCTGATGTGCACTTATTAGCTTGTCGCCGAGAATCACCAACGATTTCACTCCTCCGTTTCCGGTGGAAACTACGTTACGATCATCGCCGGTGGAATATTCCGGTGAGAACGGAGGTTCACGGGGCCATACACGTATCTCACTGTTGGAAGAGCCGGTGTAGAATAATTTATCGGAGACGGCGAGAGAAGAGACGTACGAGGATTTATCTTTGAGCGTGGCTAAGCACTGGTGATCGACGCTGGAGCTCTGCGGCTGAAAAGACAGCGAAGGAACCAATGGGAGACTTGGCTGAGACAACAATGATGATGACGTTGAGGATTCTGATTGGTGATGAGTAGATTTCGTTTCACATTCTGATCTTGTTTTGCAAGGCAGAGGACAAGAACACGGGAGAAAACCCATTGCTCTGGAGCAAGCTAGAGAGAGTTTATGTTTTGTTTGTTTTGTTGTTGTCGGGAATAATCGTGGATATGTTTTGCTTTATAAGATGAGTTTTCATATCCCGAGGTAGGGAGGATCTGGCCATCTGGGGAGTTTAATGGAGAATTATATAGAAAGGTAAAAGATAATTAAAAGAAAAGTTTAGGCCTTTAGGGTAGTGTAGAGTGGGGGGACTGATTGACCCATGTGTCGTTACTGTGATAGTGTGATGATGTGTTTGTATTTAATTAACATATCTTTGTGTTCCTAACTTACCTTTTTGTAATTATTATATTTCTCTTATACTAATCACTTTTGGCTTATTATATGATAGTATTAAATTTTGTTTTTTGAGTTGAGAGATCAACCCCGATGCTTCCAAAGTTATGATAAATTCCCTCTACCAGGGTCAAATTGTAATCATTATTTCTAGTTATAATGGTCCCCATCAATAGTGATTTCCATTTTAAACTGTTACTAATTTTGAGTTATTAGTTAAAATAAGATAGTTTGAACTTTACTGCAAAAATATATATTTTGAACTCATAAATTTCATCTCAAAATTCTTAATTCGTAACAAAAAAGTATACTATGTTCAAAAATAGAAACTATGCATGAATGAAGAACCAATCTAAGAAAGAGAAGATTAGCATAATCTGTAAATTATGAACTAATCCAATCATCTACACTAAATACGAAAATAATCCAAAAATAATACAGAAGTAGATTAGTCAAAACCGATCTAGAACCGTCGCTTCTACCAGCAGCACCGGAATCGCCAGTATCTCGTTGTTGAGTAGACGGTGGTGGAGATCTAGAGCTGTTGAAGTTAGGATTCCCACCGTACAAATATTGGACTCCTTCCACGTCATCGGTCGTTAAATCAACTTTACGCCTACCCGTCCTGATGGTTGGATACATGATAGAACCTTCGACCGAGGAATGGCCTAACCCTAGAAGATGTCCAATCTCGTGAACAGCCACCGATTCTAGATCAACAGCCTCATCGACGGAGATAAAACCGTCGCCTCCTTCACCGGAGACGATCCAGTTTTCTTCTCCGTCTAGGTGGAAGTGTCCTGTCGGGGGCGAGAACGCGTGTGCTAGCGTTCTCATTGGGCCGTCAAATGGTTCTCCGTCGCCGTGTTCGCCGGAGTAGAATCCGATGCTTATGTCGGACGTCGAGAACCTTTCCACGCGCGTGAACGTAAGGGGAGTCACCTCCGCCCAACGAGCGAACGCGCGTGAGAACACACTCTTGACCTCTTCGGTCAACGAGTTTCGCGGGTCGAAAGCGTATGTTAGATCACGGCGATTTCTCGGCCACCGTGGCTCTCCGGGGAAGAAAGAGTAGTGTTTGACAGTGTGGAAACGTTGTCCCCGCCCGGCGAAGGAGACCTCGAAGGTTCTTCTACCGCTATGCATAGTTGAGGTGCCGTTGACTACGTCTGGGTTGCCGCAACGCGGGATCACGACGTGTTTGAGAGTGAGCTCGTCGAGTACTCCGGTGACATTTAGCTGGAAGTTTCTCTGGTACATTTCGACGGCGTTCTTAAGGATATCGTCGAAGTCGTCTGTGAAGTTTCCGGAGAGATCAGTTTCGGGGATGTAGCCAAAATGTTGGAAATATTGCTTAAGCTTGTAGAGACCATCGTATTTCTTGCCGGCATGACATCCGGTGAAATTCAAGAATGAGTTCCAGGGGTTTCCGGTGGCGTTACTGAGAAGCTCCGGCGGAATGGCTGAGGAGTTGGGGTAGAAACCAGCAGAGACTGGAGAAGGAACAAAGAACACCAAGAAAACCACGGAAACATAAATCCTCATCATTTGAAACAAAAAGATTAAAAAATTAAGTGAAGAGGTATGATTGAGATTTACAAGGGAATTAGAGAGAGGACATAGATGTTGGAGAAACCTTTGAGAAGATGAGGTTTGACGTTGGAGAAAACAGAGGTCATTTTTGCGTTGCGTTTGGAGAATTTTCTATGTTGAAAAGGCTGAATTAATTATTCAAAGGAAACTTCCTCCGTCCTCGGCATGTTCAAAGGGTCTCACGAAGAAAAAGAGTAAAGAAGCTTCTGCCAATAGATAGCGTCGTTTTCTGGATAATTAAAGTTGATTGGTACAATAGATTACGCCCGGTTTAGTCTTGGGTGACTAGAAATTGTGATTGACCGATGGTATATAGGACCGGTTAAATGCAAAGTTGGAAAAAGGAATCATGCAACTAAAATGGTTGAAGGCGGCAGAATCAACTAAATTGGTTGAAAGTTTGAATTGGTCTTTTTATGTTTGTAATAATTTTTCCGGAGGTATTTGTTATTGGTTGAAAAAATCAACGTAAAATCTCCACCTTACAAAGTTACACGAGTAATGACATGACTTGTTTGTTAGGCTATCTAATTTTTTCCTGTAATGGGTCTAACATGCAAGTCTCCATCGGTAAATTTGGGCCAAAAGGTTGAAGCCTGTTTCCATCCGGTCCTAAAGAAAAGTTAGGATACATATCTAAACCGAAAAAATTAGGTTTTCCAGTTTAGATCCGTTTGGGGCTAAAAATTGTTTACAGATTTAGTTCGATCGACGAGGTTTGCACCAACATTAGAAGCCTGTAAGCGAATAGCTTCGTTAACCAAAATCTAAACAAAGGGACGTTTGATCGTGTTTAGTGTACATTTTATCCCGGAAGTTATGATATTTTTGACTAACTTATTCATTTAAGTTACAGATTATAGTTTACATTTTTTTTTTTTTTTTTGTGGTTTTGGGTTACTATACTACAAAATGATAGGTTTTCTTTGCATACGATTAGTTTGTGGCTAATGGAGTCATAAGGCTTACAAAAAATTAAATATACAACCGTTGTGGTGGCGTTCGATCTTAAGAAGATCAAGTCTTTTATATCCACATGAAAAGTCTATTTTGTTATAAAAAAGAAAAAAGTATATGAAAAAAACTGAAAAGACAGTTTTGTGAAAATACTGTGTTGCCCTACATAGCCTGATAGCCAGTGGAACAATTTGACCGAGTAAACGCTGTAAAACGAATGCCCCACAAACGCTGGTCAGATACTTCGCAAACCCATTTGACCAGGTAAACGTTAGTTACACGGCAAGCTGAGCCCAATTACAACATAATCGTCCATAGCTTCAACTTTTGTCTCTCCTTTATCCTATATAAATGGTCGAAATGTAATCAAATTTATCATCATCTTCACTATAAGATGGCGGCGTCTATAGTTTCTTCCATCATTTTCTTTCTTCTTATTATCATACTCTCACTTTTTGTAGATGGACACGTTTTTGCTGCCCAATATTAGCAAGAAGAACACTCCACTTCAACCAGAAACTCTGCTTTCTGCGTTTGGGTCTGTCAAAACCGAAGACAAGTCATTGGGCCTTTCAACAAATATCAAGCCCATGAAGCCCAACGTAAACAACTCTTCTTCACTCTGCAACGGTAACATTTATCCTCAGTCAAACTTATCTCCGGCTCCAGCTCACCTCCGTACGGGTCACACAGCTCATCAGATACAAAGACACAACCGATTTGATTCGCTTTGTTCCCCTGTCGTCTTATATACGTAGTGACGTGTAACCTAGGAGCCTCTCTTTTGGGTGTTGTTATATAAGGGGAAAGGGGATTTTCATACCCGTACTATCTGCACTGTGGATTTTCATAACTGAACAATTTCGTAGGGTATTTTACAATCTAAACTTCAATAAAATTTGAATCTCATACATATACTTGATACAACGTGCAAAAATCAGAGTCAATTTAATGGGTGTTAGTCAACTCCATTACGGTGCTGAGTCATCGTACACCTGTACGCTGACGTGTATCAAAACGACGTCGTTTTCATACCCGTACTATCTGCGCCGTGGATTTTCATACCTGAACAATTTTGTAGGGTATTTTACAACCTAAACTTCAATAAAATCTGAATCTCATACCCTATACTTGATACAACGTGCAAAAATCGGAGTCAATCTAACGGCTGTTAGTCAACTCCGTTACGGTGCATATCGAAACGACGTTATTTTGATATGTGTTCTCAAAGTTTTAATTTTTTTTGCAAAATTAGGGACTCGAACCCGCGAGCCGTAGTCACATGAGAAGCACCGAACACCAACTGATCCCACAACATTCATCGAACCCGCGAGCCGTAGTCAATCGTTTTAAATTGGGAGGAAATTATGAATACTAGGGTTTCGAATTGAGAAATCGTTTTCTCATTTCTTCTTCTTCTTCTCAGAAATTAGGCATGAATAAAGTTTTACAATGTGACTACGGCTTCGCACAACTTTTTGGGTTTATAAGTTAAAAAGATTGAGGAATACTCGATGAACGTTGTGGGATCAATTGGTATTTGGTGCTTCCCATGTGACTACAGCTTGCGGGTTCGAGTCCCCAGTTTTGCAAAAAAATTTAAAACTTTGAGAACACATATCAAAACGACGTCGTTTCGATACGCACCGTAACGAAGTTGACTAACGCCCGTTAGATTGACTCCGATTTTTGCACGTTGTATCAAGCATAGGGTATGAGATTCAAATTTTATTGAAGTTTAGGTTGTAAAATACCTACAAAATTGTCCAGGTATGAAAATCCACGGCACATACAGTACGTGTATGAAAACGACGTCGTTTTGATACACGTCAGCGTACACGTGTACGATGACTCAGCACCGTAACGGAGTTGACTAACACCCGTTAGATTGACTCTGATTTTTGCATGTTGTATCAAGTATAGGTATGAGATTCAAATTTTATTGAAATTTAGGTTGTAAAATACCCTACGAATTTGTCCAGGTATGAAAATCCACGGTGCAGATAGTACGGGTATGAAAATCCCCTTTTCCCTGTTATATAAACCCCTCTCCGTCATTGTAATCTTTAAGCTAAAATAATTGATTAAGATTTCTCTTCACTTTCGTCTTATTAAGACTTTCACCCAAATAGAACACCCCAAATTGGGTGAGTCTTCTACGTAAATATAGATTACTTTTAACTCATTTACTGATTTAGAGACAGGTTATCATTGAAAGTACTAAAGGCTTGACACTATATATGCCATGTGTAATGTGCATGTGGAGCAAAAGAGACAATGACCATGAGGAAGAGGAACTTGGAAGAAAATGGGGTCCAGGGATCCAAAATTAGAACTCCACCAAGCATGTCGCGGCACAGTGGAATGAAAAACAATCAAGATAACCGTAGGGGAAAACAAATTTATTAGCTGCGATGCCTTGAAAAAACCTGTAGGCGGCGTGTCCAACGCCTGCAACATGTACAAAAAATGTAAGCTTGAATCCCTCGCTCCATAACCTCCTCCGCCTCCAAGCTCTTCCAAATTTTACACAGTACGGACTTGGTCACTGATTTCACTATATGATGTAGTCCTAGAAATATTCATGACTCATCAAGGATTGGTTTAAGGAAAATCAAGATCAAATTATAAAGAAGTTTCTAGAAGACAATCAATTCATGGCTATATCAAGAAAGTGTCTAGATACAAAGAACCAATCTCCATCAATGTTGATTGATAAAATCTTTCAAATTTATTCTTGATTGATTCATGTAATTAATTTGATTTATTTTGTACTTATGTTATTGATTTGTAAATTGAGCCTATATAAGCTCATGTTTCCTTTCATTGTAAATATATAGATTTTTGGAAAAAAATAAAGAGAGAGTTTCTCACTTTTAAAAGCTTAGGCTTTTGTTTTACTTGTTTTTTTCTATTGTGTGTGATTCCTTTAGAAAACAAGTGGAATCTTTATCTTTATGTGCGATTCATTTAGATATTGATTTGTGTTCTTATCACAAAGTCATTCCGCAACTTTGTGTGGCAAACTTCGATCCATACAACTATCCATCTCCATCTCTATCGAATCTGTTGAGAGTGACCTTAGTCCAGCGACAGTTTCACCATCTATTCACTTTTATCTTCATCTTCCCTTCCATTCGAATCTGTTGAGAGCGACCTTAGTCCAGCAACAGCTTCTCCATCAATCACCACGCTCGTTCATATATCACTATAGCTTGGAAGGTGTCTGTGTATGTATACTGTATACATGCACGTTTTCTTACGTTGTGGTTTGGTTTGCGATTTTTGTGGTTTTTCATCCATATGCAGAAGTTTATTTGTCATAGCTAGTCATACATATTTATCAAATGCAAATATGTATGATACTTTCGGTGAACATCTATAACTACATTTTGTAAAAATACGTAGAGAGTTAAAGCATTGTACCCAAGGACTATGCATGGCTAATATCAATTGATTTCAGATTATTAGACCATCTCCATCACACAAAACATTTTTGGATGTCTTCCCCTAATAAAAAAAATATAAAGTTAAAAAAAATTATATTATAATTGATAGTGTCTTTAAAACATGAGACATTCCTTTCAAAATGTCTTACCAAAGACACATGTTCAAAAGTTTTAAAGACATTCATATATATAATATTAATTTTTTTAAGTCGGGGAATTAGTACACCCAAAAATATTTGTCTAATGTGGATGCTCTTATGGCCTTGTTCTTTTAACAGTCGCGCGACTAAAACCAGCGATTGAATTTTGTATATATTTTTTTTTACAGGTGAGTTTTGTAATAATGAGTAGTTTAAAGGGTATATCTATAAATTAGTAAATTCCCATCAAAATATCTATTTTTACGCTGGAGATGAAGATAAAATTCTACAGATCTGCAAATCTTTATCAATGGCAATTCAACTTTTAAGATCCAGCGACTATCGCTCCTTTCAAATTAAAGCTTAGATTGTGCTTTTTCCAACGACTCCAAAATCGTTAAATTGAAGTCGCTGTGGGAGGAATTAAAGTGAGATAAAGAAGAAATGGAAGAGAAGCAAAGGCAAGTTAAATTATTGGCTGGTTTCAGATATTGAATCTCTTAACACATGCATTCCAAAGTTTGGTGTCCCTGCATCAACGACTAACCGGGATATTATAATTTTTCTTTGCTGTAAATTTTTCCTAACCATTTCTTAGGATTGAGTTTCCGTCCTTACTATTTTTTGTTTTTTTCTCTCAATACGGTTGTTTAATTAACAAAAAGACTTGACCGTCCTTCTTGTTTTTGCACTTTTGTTTTGGGATTCCAGCTATGAAATGATATCATTAATTAGAGAGCGACCTCATCAAGTTGTTGTACACAATATATACATGTGTGAATATATTAGGATTACAAGAAAGGCAAGAGGAGACCACTATCCGACGACCCACACAACTAAGAGCATTCTAATCGGTAAAGGCCTAAAAAAGAATATCTAATGAATTATTTTATTATGATTTTATTATTTAAATAAATTT